GAATGCTTTGTGGAGATGCATGATCAGCAGCTTGAGTAGCAGCTATCAAAGAATCTTCCTTTGAATGAAGCTTCTAGGATGAAGATTGCAAATTCTGTTGACTGAATGTTGCATGTACACCTGCAGGCTGCTGTGCTGCATTTGAAATTTTGACATCTAATGGAGACTTGGTGCTGGTGTTGCAGAGTGAGGCCCCCCATCCATTGCAGTTGAGATTACTGTGGCATCATTATCACTGTTATCAAAGAGGTTTCCTGTGCACTGCATGGAATTGTCCCTTAGCCCACTCAAAAGGAATGGTCTTTAAAGAGCTGGTGCTGAGGGACTTTGCTATAGGCGTCGCATAGATTTTAGGTTGCCCACGTAAAGCAGATTTAAGTTTTTGAACAGACCACAAACTTCTAATGACAGATAAGTCTCTGCACTTGGCCAAGCTCTGCAGCATTTCAACCCACTACATGGGAAGCCTATTGTATTCCCGCATACATCTTTAGTATGACATTGTTCACTTTGTTCAACATGGTTTCCACTGTGTCATCTGCAAGGAGGTCAATTTTCTTACACCCTAAGCCTACTTGATGTAGCATCTTTTTCTCGTTTGTAGTAGGGTTTTTTTTGTTTTGCAAAGCAAGTCTTCTCTGAGACAGAAACTGTTTTTTTGGGAAACCTTTCCTCAACCAAAGCTCTGGAATACGTCTGTATACACATTCTTGTGAACTAACTTCTCTTCTTGAAAGAAAAGCTGCTCCTACTTTCCTCAAACTGTCTCAGATGTTCAAATTTGAGGCTTAAGCTTCCTTTGCTGCATTTACAATAGCCTGTGAACATTCAGTTTCATCCTTTGTGAAGTAGGAGCAAACATAGGTTGCACATTTGTAATGATTAAAAACAGGCTGTAAGTCAACATTTGCTCGAAAACCTTTGATCCCAGCAACAGAACAGTTATTTATAAAACAATTACCCAATGGTCTTTTCAGTCAGAATCGCTGGATGTAGATAGAGCCCAGTAATATTGTTTTTCTGCAATACTTAGTGGGCTTAGAATATCCTCTTCTGCTTTATTAGGATCATACTGTGGCTTCTTTGTCTATTTGCTCTTTGACTAAATTAAGAACTACATTTCTTCTGGTTAAAATGGTCATTTTAGACTCCTCATCTAATTCCTCAGAGTAGTAATGCTGCAACTGTCCTCTAAGTGGAAAAACTGCCCAAAATTAAACCTACAAGGAATATTTTTGTACTCTCTGCAAGTCTTTGAGTGATTGTGCTTTTGTTCATGCATGTCAGAGTCTGTTTTTTTTCTTGTGGCAGGTATGCCTGAACATGATTATTCACAATTTAAAATGAAAAAAGTTGATTTGGCCCATAAAAGGGGGCCAAACGAGTGGATGCAGTTTGGTACTGGCTTGGGGTCAATTTGGCCCCATTGAAATAGAGATATTTTTGGATCCATTTTTGGGGCAAAATCTACCTACCGTAGTTATTCGGTTATAAGGCGCACCGTTTTTTTCAAGAAATTCCTAATTTCTACTAAAAATTACCGCCAAAGTTTGGGTGCGTCTTATGGGCGAATATTTTCCCGAAACAATTTTTTTTGATCACAGTTACTGGTACGATTTCAAGCAAATGAAATGACACACACACATTGACTTTTATGAATATGGTGGTTCTGAAAAGACAAGCGAAGTCAAATTTGCATAGATGTGATACGTGCTCGAGAGCACGTGCTTAGTAATTTGATACGTCACAAAACGAAACGAAAAGAAACAAGCGAAGAGGTAAATACCTTCTTCATCCTTTCAGCCTTTTTAGTGCACTGAGATCTGCATTCTCGGCAGTACATCTTGTTTAATCAAGGCTTTTGTTTGTGTGCGTGGTTGCGTGTGCGACAATTCTGCTTTTGTTGATTAACGGTAAACTAAAATCAATACGCGACTTTTTCGCTTTTTTGTAAGTTTATGAAAGAATTTACAATAAACTTGACCAATCTTTACTACCCAAACAACGGTGCGCCTTATAACCAAGTATTTTAGCGATTTTCTCAGTTTGAAAACATGTAGTAATGAAGTTGCTGAATTGGGAGTGCATCTTATAGCCGAGTGCGCCTAATAACAGAATAACTACGGTAATTGTAAAGGACAAATTGGACCATGTGTAAGGTCAATTTGGAAAATAGTGGGACCACTTTGGAATTTAAGAGGGCTAAACAGCGCTTAAAATTTCAGCCCTCTCGCAAATTATCCCTTTAAAATTAGCCAATCCAGCTCCAATGTGAAGCCAGTAGAGAAGTGGAGGGCTCTTTCCTCTCTGCACCGATTTCCCCCCTTACAGTAAAATAATGAAAATATACCTCATGCTTTACCTTTCAAATACTCATTTATTAGGTTATAGATATTGTTTATGTAGAAACCTTTTAGAATGCATGATTTTACAGTTTTTAAGTTTCTCAGTTGTGGTATAAAATAGACAAACTTTGAAACATCATGTGAAAGAATAGAACAACATATAGAGGTATTTAACATTACTTGAACCATTTTCTAAAATAGATCTCTGCTAAATCAGTATACTTCTCAACAGTGCAAGCATTGCCAGAAACAATACTTGTGAGTAAAGCTTCCCTTCTCACTGACTTAGCAGATGTGATAATGTGAGACAGCTTATAATCAATGGTGATTTAATTTCTCAAAGTACAGTCTATTATCAAATAACACAAAGGTATTAAATGGTCCTGTACCTGGTCCAAAGACTTTTCAATTGATGGATGAACATGCTTACTGCTTGATATTTCATAGCACTGCCTCAACTGATGATGAAGATCCAGTGTCCAAGGAATGTGAGTGAAATTGCAAGGAATGTGGCCAGCCGTTTGAGTCTTTCATGCTTTGGCTCAAACCTTATCATCCAGGACAGTACCATCGGACTAAACTTTAAATATCAAAATGCTACATATTTACTTTTTTTTTTTCAATGATCAACCTTTACATGTACTGTAAGGTAACTAATGGAAAACCCAAACAATGATACAAAGATTTATGTGACAACACTATCACCCATCAAAAGAAAAGTTAGATATTTTTCATTTCCAACTTACCTAACCATTGTTCTTGGGTTATGGAGAATATAGTGCATCTGTGGAATCACAGAGGAATTCGGGTATAACTTGGTAAATCTAGTACGGTGATCGGTGATTAAATCCCTTGAGTAAGCTACTTTATAATGTTCTCTATTCTAAGAGTTGGGAGAAAATTCCACTTCTCATCATCATAGGGCATATGGCTGCCGATCACCTATGGAAGGAAATGGCCAAGGCACCACATCTCTGAAGCTAGAATCACATTACGATCAACAGAATTACCAACACACAGTTTAATGCATTTCCTATGGACTACTAATAATATAAGTGTTACCTTTTGTTTGAGAGAATTAGTGTTGGAATTTAAGGTGGCACTTGATATAACACATGGTTTGTTGGAAACATCTGGATAACCACAATCTAAATTTTTAATCCAAGAATTAAAATTTCCCAAAGTGAAAAACTGCTGCTCATCTATAGATATTTGAGGAGTTCTTTGACTTCATAGTGAAGAAACCCCTGAAGGATATCATGCATTACATCACTCGAAAGACCTTCTATGACATACAAGTAATGTGACTGGTTCAGGGCCGATCTCAGATTTATTCGAAACTGAGAAGAAATGTCAATGACTGAATTTTCGATTGCTGTGCACAGCAGATCATACATTGCTTGAGTGTGTAATTGGAAATCATCTTCCACAAACTGTGAGGAATTATGAGAAAGTTATTGGATTTCAACACCACACTTCAATTACAAATTTTATCGTACACAATTTTCAACACAGTTTTTCCATGTAAGTCACAGGATCTGGTGGTTTAATCATTAAAGGGGGGGGAGAGTATCTTTGGTACTAGATGTAATGGTTCTCACATTGTGAAAGAGAAAGTTCAGCAAAAAGTTATCACAATGAGCAAAAGCCTAGGAAAAAACTTATGAGTTGGCGGCAAAGTGCAAAAGGGCAAAGTGAATGGGAAGAAGTTTAGACGCTTACTTTATTGTCAGTGGAAAAATGGTTCATCCTTTGCCTACCTTTGTAGCTACATCATTTGCATCTCCTATGTAAACCCTGCACTTCAGTGCAGAACAGCCTCCAATGTTAAAGCCTACAATCTCCTGGGATGCTAAATTATCACCGGAAACAAAGCTGATGGTTCCTTTTAAAGACTTTCTTTCCCCATTTATGGTAAACTGGTATCCTCCATCCTTTAGAAATAAATAGGAACCTCAAGATCCGAGGATGGCGGATGTCTACGATGGCTGCCATGACGGAGGGGGACTGGGAGGAGGTTGCCGTCGCAAGGCGCAAAAAATCCTTTAGAGCCTAAGTCCTAAAGATAAGGTGGACAATTTTTTTTTAATTACTATCTAAGTTGATTTGCCTCTAGTCTTTGCTTACTCGTAACACTGTATTGGTTATGAAAAGGTTTAACTTCAATAAATGATCTTTAAAAACATTCTACATTTGCTCTAATTTGTGTATAGTTATTTTAGATTTCAAAACTTTTCTAAAAAAGGGGCTTACCAGATATTTTCAGGGTGAAGGATGAGGTGAAGTTGACCCAAGATATGCATAGGGCATTTTTTTTGCAGAAACATAAATGTGACTTATAACTTTCTTGTTGGTATTTTTTAGCTCTTTTTAGCCAAGGTTTAATTATTTACTTGCTTCATCACAGTCAAATTCAAGAACTAATTGTATATGGTAATCCCCTAATTAACCAACCTTAAAAGAAAAATACCAAAAATGTCTAACACTGTATTTAAAGAAGAATTGCTTCAGAAATAGTATGTCCAGTTGTAACTTTTTATTAACAATTCAAACTTACAAACACTCTTTATGACTACTTAAACTTTTTCTAAAAGTTTAACTTAATCTTTCTAAATGATCTTCTAATCCAAATGAACACACTACATTTCACTGTTGTCACTTAGATAAGATTAAAGGTCCTTGAAAATTTGTTAGAAGACAGGCTATAGAATATAGCTGGTTAACTGAACCTAAAGTTGACAGAGGAACATCGGAATCAAAGAAGTGATACTCCTTAACCCTCCTGATGGCACGTTCTACGTGTATTCTAAGGCTTGCAATAGTTTTAGTTTTTTGTACATCTTGAGTTGAAAACTGCCCTTGATTTTCCAGAAAAGGAGGGATGTTTAACTCAACATTATACTCCTGTAGCATGTTACCTATATGAAACCCCTTGTCTGCCATGACTGAGTCTCCTGCTTCTAAAAGGTCTAAAATACCACTACACCCTGGGATTTCCTTGTCACTAATCCTTCCAGTGTATAAAGTGGAAACAAGACATATTGCTCCACAAGGGGTGATTCCAATAAGACCTTTCAAAGTTGTGTTGCTCTTATAGGATGAGTATAGCTGTGACTGTAACAATAGTGATGTGGGTGTTTGCACAAAAATCTCTGTGCATTCTAAAATCACTCTAGTGCTAAGATAGAGTTTTCTGAAACCCTCAGGCATGCATCTATCTACATCTGCTCTAGAGGGCCAGATAATCTGACTTCCAACAAAAAAGTACAAAAAATTGGACCATGTTACTAATTTTCTAGAGACTGAGGATATATGAATTTCAAACCTATCAGCAAGATCTAGCTCAAATAATCCTAGTTTAAGCTGAACAAGAAATATAAACATTTCATCTATTAGAAGCATATTTCTGGAGGCTGGTCTGTTTTCTCTCTCTCCAGAGGCATAACAGTAGGTCATTAGTTCAGCACTTGGCTTAATAAAACTAAAAAAAAACTTAATATGTTCATTTGAGGGGAAACCAGTGTAAAATTTTATACTCTCGTTGTCTACATCTAATCTCTCCAGGCCAAATTTACTTGATATTGCTTTATAAGCTGCCTGCTTTTTAATGTCCTCTAATCGTTGAGCAGCTTCAGCCTTGACATTTCTTATCTCTTCTTTAGCTACAGCTGCTTCCTTTCTGCTCACCTCAAGCTCTCCCCGCATGGCCAGCAGCTGAGCCTTCAGAGACTGCACCTCTGTTTCCACACTTTCCCTGCTTTGCATTGCCTCACTTTCCACTCCATCAGTGTCACTATCATCTGTTTGAGTATCTCTGTGAAGAAAGCCTAAAAATTAAATATCACTCACTTATACATAATTCTAAATTTTAAAACAATTAAATCATTTTAGACATTGAGGAACCTGAGATCTGTATATATACTTCATACCCATACATCCCTTCTATAAGGTGTTTCAAATGCTTTTAAAAATAGCAGTTAATACTTATCCCAAACTGATACAGTATTTAAAAATTAGAAAGATGCCATTATAGTCTAGACTTATCATTATAACCCCATAAACTCATGGACACATTAAAATATAACTGAAGGATAAATTACCTGTCGACATGTTGAATAATCTTTCTTCGTGCTTTGGAGGAGGAAGTCCAGTTAAAATTCGATGGAACAGCACCTCTTTTCAGTTGCTGGCTACCACACTTGGTCGGTGGAAGGTAATCTTCCTTGGTAAAGTGCCTTGAATATACTCTTGTACTACTAGTTATCTAAATAGAGAAAAGTTTAAGCCATTAGACACATAAGTTTACTGAACAATTCCTTGTGAAATGCTTTGAAAATCGAATGTCTCCATAAAATACCTTGAAGTCAGGACCTTTGTCTCTTCAGATTTTCATGAGCCATTCCTTCCTCAGCTTTTCGTCCTTGGCACGACCGGGAATGCAATGGAAATGCAGATCTTCATGGTATCTTGAATCCCCATTACATTGGGGAACACAACAATGGTGTGCAGACTTTTTTTTGCTTTTGGTGGATTGTTCAACTGACTTGTCCATATCAATATCTACAACAATGAAAACAACGCTTGTTGGTTCAAACACCATAGTTTTGAGGGGAATGAGCAGCCAAAATTCTATGTTTTTCGATAGTAAATGGCTCCTAAACCTCAAAGTGTAGTGAATTACTGTATTTTATTTCTTTTTACTTGTATTAATTGTCCAAATGTCGTTATAAAAGTGCAACAAGAAGACAAACTCTGTTGTACATACCAGACGGAGAAGCCATGTTTGTAACTCGTGGTCGACTTTACACTGATATTTTTGCTGCGATCCCAGCTGAAAACCAACCTTTCCGACTCAAGATGTGCTCAAAGCTATATTTCTATGCAAAACTTACTGGATTTGGAGAGATGGAAAGATATTTAACGCTTGAATTCAGAATAATCGCCTTTCAACTATACACGTGTGACGCTCAAGAGACTCATTCAATTTGTGTTTGCTGAAGAGCTTGCTCTCCAATTCGGTGTTGCTAACGCATATCTAGGCACGTGACCTCTAGCTGCAAAGGGCGTATTGTATACTTGCTGCACAAAAGACCAATGACTCTTTCCACATGGATACAAACATTGGCAATTCCTCTTGTGGTATCAACATCAACTGGGTCAAGTTGCTCCTTGCCTTTGGTAAAAGCTGGAACTACCAACTTTGCCCTCTTGAATGCAACACTCTCATGAAGACTCGATCAGCCATCACCATGTCGCCAGGAACCAACTTGCTCAAGATACCACAGTTTTCTGTCAAAACCTTGTCCGAGGTTTGCCCACCCCGTGCCTCAGAAACAAATGAAATGCTACCTTGCGGTGTGATGCCAATCAAGACCTTCATGGTAATATGGTGTTTGTAGGAGCTGAATGTTTGTGCTCTAGCAAATAAATTTGTAGGTTTCTCAATAAAAATCTCAAAACAGTCAATTATTACAGTAATTTTAGTTCCAAAGCTGAACTGGAAGCATTGTGGCATTGATCTTATCAAACTTTCATGATCTGGCCATTGGATAAATGGAGACAATCTTATGTCCATAGTTATCAACCAAGAATGAAATGTCCATGAAACCGTTGGAACTGAGATGTTCAACTGATAAGCTAGGTCTTGAAAAGGAACATTCAATCTCAACTTTATCAGGACCATAACAAATTCTTTAAAAGGACTCAGTGTTTTGGAGCGACGAGAAGCAGACGGTGACACGAGTTCAAACACAAATTTCAGGATTTCATAAGAAGGAAGGCCAATATAAAATAGTACTTTATTGTCGCTATTCCTAAAATACTCTTCGCCAAAGTCAGTTACTTTCTTATTTGTATTAAATAAATAATCAAACTCGTCAGTCTGTGAAGAGGCATCATAAGACTTAAGCTTAGGAGTACTTGTCAAAACTTCGGTCTGAGTACTCATCTCGTCAAAGCTTTTGACCTTGGCCTGACGGCATTTTTCATTTTCACCAAGCTCTTGATCTCCGTACGACAAGACAAATTCTTCTGTTGTTGTATCTAAATCGTCGCTCGTAGATGTAAACAAGATATTAGAGACTTGGGTTCCTTCGTCATTCAACCGAAGTCTATTCTCTTTGATCATCGTTTTTGCTTCGTTAAGCTTCTTCTTCCTCCTAACTTTAGCTCTCTCTGCTCGTTCCTGTACTGCTTTCCCCATGTCTTCTGCCTTCCTTTTTGTGTGTCTAAGGTTAAGTGTTGGCACCCAGTCAACGTTGTATTTATCCCAGGGTTTTGCTGGATGACTGGAGACAAAATGGCGACAACAAACACGGTCGTTTTTTAAGATTTGTTCAGTCAAGTCATCTCTGCTTATAGCTGTGATCAACTTCGTTCGATGCTCTGTTGAAAGCTCTTCAGCTTCTTCACCATTCTTTCTATCAATAACCGGCACTTTGAAGAAGGAAACATCTTTGTCTCGACCACTTCTTGCGTGGCAATCCACAAATAAACACAAAACCATTTCTATACTACTTCAGACCACGAGCTCTTTGAGCGTTTGTTTGTACACCAATATGGCAGATAGCAACGGTTGTCAAAGCTTTGATCACATGAGTGAAAACCGAGAATTTGACAACCACTTGTTCCTTGCTTGCTAACCACTCTACGAGAGAGAATTGTGAGTTCCTTAAAAATATGCTCTTCTTTTATACATCTGAGATCTATTGTCTTTGAATTCTACCTGTTCATTGGTTACAGACTGTAGAACCTTGATCCTGCATGATTTAGCAAAATCTTCTCATTGGCTACAACCTTTAGAATATTTTTTAGTTCTATAGAGATTAGGGCAGCCTTGGACAGCCTTGGACAGCCTTCATGTAATCCCCTAGAGGTTAGGGCAGCCTTAGGCAGCCTCAGGCAGCCTTGAACAGCCATCTTTGTCAGCTATCTTACACTGTGCATGCATAAAGGACTGACCCACAGCGATGAACCAGTTTCTTTGGTATAAAGAATGTTTAAAACAAAGGGGCATTTAAAGCTCAGGAAAACGTAAGGTTGAACTGAGGAAAGTGAGGAGATGGAAGTCCTGAAAATTGCTGAAGAGGAAGCACCAAACTGATGAGGGAGAATGTGATAACGAAAATCGTATTTTTTCCCAATGAACCAAAAACTTTACTAACGTACAGGACTTTGGATTCCCCGAACTCTTTAATTACTTGGTGGGAAAAGACAACGTGTACAACAGCGAAGGCCTAAAAAGTTACAAATCCCTATTGGGGTACAAATTATTTTTTGATGGACATATGGAAGAACTTTGGTATCACCCACCTCAACCCAATAGTAATTACAGTTATTTTAAGTTTGCTGTAAAGCCAACTGAAAAATCCAAGACTGATGATGGTTCATCAACATACAGAGGGTTTTTCATTTTAAAAAAGGATGGAAGTGTCAATTAAGACTACTGCTTATGGAAAGGAGGGTATGTATTCTCTACTTTTGATTTCTGGAGCCTGTCTATGCGCTTGATATTCCATAAACATACGTTTGAGAATCAAAACGTTTGGTCTTTTCTGTTGTTTTTCTCTGTGACAGGTTTTGTTTTATTCAGTTTTATTATATTTCCCATGTAGAAGTTGTAACATGAGTAAAAAGTAGATGCCTCCTGAATTGAAGATCTAAATCAATGGATCCATTATTTTAAGTCTCAAACCTTCTGGATCATTTATGACCTCAGCACTAAGTATTAAAACGGTAGTTCAAAGTCAGAATCTGTGAGCCTAGTAACTGACCTTATTGGGTACTTTACAGTCTATCAGTGTGAACAATTAGTTATATTGGTTCTCCTTTAAACAGGAGAGATGGAGGTTGCTGGCACATAGCTGTAGCATTGTTTGATCTAGAAGCAAACGTGAGATTCAACGATCTCCAATCATGTACATCAGGGCAGTGCATGTGGAAAAAGAGAGGAAAGAGAAATGAGGGAAGTTTGCCCATTCAGGACCTCCAAATGAGTGGTAGTTACGGTGTGACATTGAAAGACCCAATTCACCCAAGAGATTTTAATGCAGTTTGTATTCCTTATAATGTGACTGAACTGGAACAAGATTTTAAGACTGAGTTGCTGGAAACTTGTCCTAGCTCTTCAGCTCTGCCTTTTTTATCTTCAATTAAAGGACCCAGTCAAACAGAGGAAGTAGTCAGAGCTTTTATCAGCAGTGATGTTAATGTCTGTAAAGAAGAAAGTGTTCAAAGTGTGCATGTATATTCAATGAATGATAATGCCAAAGTGTTTGTTTCGTTTATTACTGAAAAAAAGATGCCTACAGTTTCTAAAGAACTTGCAATTGAATTCCTTGAGTCTATTCCATTTAATGAGGAGCAAGCAGAAATTATCAACAAGAAAACTGTCTATCAATCGCAGTCTCAATTTTGGTTTGATCAAAGGGCTGGAAGAATTATAGTTTCCTTATTTTACGCTGTGCCACCTCAGAAAGAGCACAGACAGAAGAAACACTATTAAACATCTCATGAATTACTGTCCAATAGCTGAAGATGCCGTGCCATGACAGATGACATGGGGGTGTGAAAAAGATGGCGAACCGATATATCGACTGACTGCTGGTTGATGCATCGGCCGATATGTAGCGATCAACTGCCGGTGAAGTATCAGTCAATTGTCGGTCAGGCGTCGGTCAGGCGTCGGTCAGGCGTTGGTCAGGCGTCGGTCAAGTGTCGGTCAAGTATCCGCCAAGTATAGGTTCACTTACCGACCATATCACTCAGAAGAAAATAGGCTAAGAAAGAGTGTGAGGTTTTTTCGATATATGTTCCGATTTGGTGATGGAAAAATACATTGTAAAGTTGGTCACTCTTGTGTAATTAATGTTGTACCTTGACGTATTTCCATTATTCGTAAAACTACCTGGCTTATGCTTTATCCCTGATGCCATGTTGCCCTTAATCCAACATACCTAAAATGATTATTATTCCTTAGCTCTTATAGCTCTAACAGGTCCTCAACGTTATATTGCTTGTACAATGTTACCAATATTTACTGTCCAGTTTATGTCGGTAATGGGATCCACCTAAATTGTATCAGCTAAAATTGCAGTGTGTAACTGCCCAGCTAAACGAAAAGTAAATGATCTTTTGAAACTGAACTAGGCAGTTAAGCTCATAAGCAAAGCGATTTTATAAAGACTTCTTTTTGCAGTGCGAAGTCAGCCGTTGTTTGTTTGTTTTTTTATTATTGTTATTTTACCTAGAATAGGGCGTCTTTTTGGGGGTTTGGGCCTTAACAACGGTATCAATTTTTTTTGTCCTTAAATAGGGAACTCCGCGGCACCCACCTATCGGAAATACAGTACTAATCTGCTTATAAGAACCTAGAATTCACGAACCTGTTAGCCTAAAAATATCAATTTAGAACCCCTTTATATAAGAATCTATTTAGCCTAAATTTGAAACAGGTTCCTGTTTTAGAAAATAAACCTTAAAGATCTTCAGGCAAAGATAAAAGACATGACTCTTAAAAGTAGTGAACTTAAACATGTATGAACTATAAAAATCTCTAAATTTGGTATAAATAATGTATGAAAAACGGTAGTATGTACATGTTGGTTTTGAATTAGAATTCACACGAGTACGCCCTACGAGTACATTTAGAACTTAGAACTGAGAACTCAGATTCTTATAAGCGGGTAAGTACTGTAGTTTGACTTACTAAAACGAAATCAAGTCTGCAATGAATATCTGGTTGCCTTTGCCTCCAGATAAACCTCTTGCCATTTGGATTAAAAATTTTCCAAACATCGCATAGCTCCAAATTTTCCATCGCATTTTGCACCACCTTTAAAGCATTCTGATGTAATCTGGCAATGCCATTTTTTCAGAGAAAATTGAGAGAGTCAAAAACATTCTAAGCAGCTGGTCTGCTTGGAGACTTACTTTTATAGGTAAAATCACGATAATAAAAGCTTTGGCAGTATCCCAAATTGTACATGTTTTAACCTCTCTTCCAACGCATCAGGGTGCACTTAAGGATATCAATACCCTGCTATATGACTTTCTCTAGGAAAGGAAAGGGGAAAAAATTAAAAGGACACAAATGACCAATGATGACGATAAAGGAGGCCTCAAGATGATAGATATTCAAAGCTTTAATAAATTGCTAAACAAAAAGTGGATAAATGGAAACTTCTCGTAGACAGAAGTGTAGGGGGAAAGTAATGTTTTCAAAGTGCAACTACGATCAAGCTGTCGATATCCATTTTTTATAATTTCGTATAAAATATGACTGTCTAAAATACCTTGCTAAATATCAATCCATTATGACTAACAGATATCTTTTTTTTAATTTGTATTTTTATTTCCGAGAAGTTGCAGTTGCCATTTCTTTATCTCGTTCCAATTATAGCCTGGTTGAGAATGAGGGAAAATGACGTCAAATGCTCAAAATAACTCGAGTGTGCTAGACTATTGCAATGTTTGAATTTATTACAGGTACAGTAAAAAACCCCTTTTTAAGAACCTAGATTTTAAGAAAAAATAGATTAACTGAAAGTGTTAGACAAAAATTGTACATTAAAACTCCTTTTACACGAGAACCTGTTTTAGCCTACAACTTTGAAACAGGTTCTTTTTTTGAGAAATTCAACAACACAGTTCCATGTATTAATGTTGTGTTTTGTTCTGTTTATCTCGGATAGCTTTGTAAACTTGGTAAATATATGCTTGGATTTTTAACATATTATGCATACAATACCAAAAATAGGCCACGCCCTCCAATGACAAACAACTCATTTATTTTGAAAACTAGACTGCGAGCAGTGGGCGCGATCGACGAGCGGTGAGCGGCCAAGCTGCGATCTCTTTTCGCTGTGACTGGCGCCCCTGCTGCTCGCAAATCACGGCTTTGCCCCTCATCGCTCGTCGATCACGTCCGCTTTTTCCCCGTTCGTTCCAGTGGGATTTCACAGCAAAAGAGACTGCTCGCAGTCTATTTGAAAACAAGAACCTGTTAAAGAACCTGAGTAGCCAAATTTTTCAGTTAAGCACCATCTTTTATAATAACCTTCTTAGCCTTGCTTGGAAAAAATTAGGTTCCTATAAGCCGGTTTTTACCGTTTATGCTTCTGAGTCTAAAATTGAAAAAAAAAACCAAATTGCACCAATGTTGCACTAAGGTCACAGGAGCTGTCCCGTTTCGGGGGAGGGGGGTACTACCGTAAATTTTGAATAAGTGTGTGCCTAGAAGAGTCTTAAACCCTGTCCCACTTTAAGGATGAAACAAACGAGAATTGTCCAAACACGAAATATGACACCCTATTCAAGGAAAAACAATAACCAAACAATGGCTAACCACGCGCGGCAAAACACACATCTCGATAAAATCGCTTTGTTGACAATTTTAGCGGAATTTGCTTTTTGTTTAGCTGGCCATTTACACACTGCAATTTTAGCGGATACAATCTACGTATCCTATCTAAAGATCACAACGGAAGCACAATGCTAACAGAGGCAAAACGATAACTGCCAAAACCATATCCTATCCCGTGGCACATACATGTATATGGGAGTACCCCCATCTCTGGGTATTTAAAGTGGATATTGTTCTGCAATGTCCTCCATCAACCGTCCAAAACAGCCATTCGGGTGAAGCTCTTCATGCCATCTTCTCCACATGAATTCCTTAAGGTATTCTTGTAGGAAGTTAGGATTTGTGTTCCCTTTCATCTTCTTAAATTTGTCCTTTGCTGCAGACCTATTGCTCTCTGTGCGTTGTGTGTGGCACCAGTGATTGGGTCTACAAAGTTAACTGAGTGATTAACCGTTTGATGATTGAAACCCAAGACCCTTTGCATTTGCCTGTATGCCGCCCATTCATCAGTATAAACCAAAGAGCCTGGTTGTACGTGTCTTTGGATAATGGTCAAAAGAGTACGCGCATCTCGCCTTCTCACAAGCTGTAAATACGGTCGAGCGGGGTCATACTGTGTGTCAAAAGGCCCAAGAACCCATCTCTCTCCTCGAGGTCGACATCCCCTTAACTGTGCTTAAGAAGAGACAAATTTCATTAAAACGTGTCGAATATATAGAAAAAAATTAAGAAAGACTGTTTCCTAGCAGGTGCAGGACAAAAGTGGGTATTGTAAACTGAAATACGGTTGATGTAATGTTTCGTATGTATTTTAGTTGATATGTTTTCTGTTGTAAAAAAGACCTGAATGAAATACAATGTAAACGAGACATCAAGGTGAATCTCTTTATGGGCACATTTCTTGATGACACATTTATTGTTAACATTTTCAAGGTAAAATGCGCACAGTTTTTGGCATTTTGGCTCTAATCTGGCTACAGGTTTTGCTGAAGATTTTGGGAATAATTCGGATGGTGCTATTTTTCTGTTGAAGTCACTATGATGAGATCGACTTGCTGGAATCCTCCTTTGAAGGTAGCTGCTAAGATGAAGATTGCAAATTCTGTTGACTGAATGTTGCATGTACACTTACAGGATGCTGTGCTGCATTTGAAATTTTAACATCTAATGGAGACTTGGTGCTGTTGTTGCAGAGTGAGGCCCCCCATCCATTGCAGCTGAGATTACTGTGGCATCATTATCACTGTCATCAAAGAGGTTTCCTGTGCACTGCATGGAATTGTCCCTTAGCCCACTCAAAAGGAATGGTCTTTAAAGAGCTGGTGCTGAGGGACTTTGGTATAGGTGTCAAATAGATTTTAGGTTGCCTACATAAAGCAGATTTAAGTTTTTGAACAGATCACAAACTGCTAATGACAGATAAGTCTCTCCACTTGGCCAAGCACTGCAGCATTTCAACCCAATACATGTACGCAGTTGAGGGAAGCCTATTGTATTCCCGCATACATCTTTAGCATGACATTGTTCACTTTCTTCAACACGGCTTCCACTGTGTCATCTGCAAGGAGGTCAATTTTCTTACACCCTAAGCCTGCTTGATGTAGCATCTTTTTCTCATTTGTAGTAGGTTTTTTTTTTTGCAAAGCAAGTCTTCTCTAAGTTTTTGGGAAACTAAAGCTCTGGAATACGTCTGTATACACATTCTTGTGAACTAGCTTCTCTTCTTGAAAGAAAAGCTACACCTACTTTCCTCGAGCTGTGTCTGATGTCAAATTTGAGGCTTAAGCTTCTTTTGCTGCATTCACAATAACCTGTGAACATTCAGTTCCATCCTTTGTGAAGTAGGAGCAAACATAGGTTACACATTGGTAATGATTAAGAGGCTGTAAGTCAACATTTGCTCGAAAACCTTTCATCCCAGCAACAGAACAGTTATTTATAAAACAACTACCCAATGGTCTTTTCAGATGTAAATCAAAGTCAGAATCGCTGGATGTAGATAGAGCCCAGTAATATTGTTTTTCTGCAATACTTGGTGGGCTTAGAATATCCTCTTCTGCTTTCTTAGGATCATACTGTGGCTTCTTTGTCTATTTGCTCTTTGACTAAATTGAGAATTACATTTCTCCTGGTTAAAATGGTCATTTTAGACTCTTCATCTTATTCCTCAGAGTACTAATGCTGCAACTGTCCTCTAAGTGGAAAAACTTCCCAAAATTAAACCTACAAGGAATATTTTTGTATTTTCTGCAAGTCTTTGAGTGATTGTGCTTTTGTTCATGCATGTCAGAGTCTGTTTTTTTCTTGTGGCAGGTGTGCCTGAACAGGATTATTCACACTTTAAAATGAAAAAAGTTGATTTGGCGCAAAAAAGGGGGCCAAACGAGTGGATCCACTTTGGTACTGGCTTGGGGTCAATTTGGCCCCATTGAAATGGAGATATTTTTGGGGCAAAATCTACCTAATTGTAAAGGCCAAATTAGATCATGTGTAAGGTCCATTTGGGAAATAGTGGAACCACTTTGGAATTTAAGAGGGCTAAACAGCGCTTAAAATTTCAGCCCTCTCACAAATTATCCCTTTAAAATTAGCCAATGCAGCTCCATTGTGAAGCCAGTACAGAAGTGGAGGGCTCTTTCCTCTCTGCACCGATTTCCCCCCTTACAGTAAAATAATGGAAATACACCTCGTGCTTTACCTTTCAAACACTCATTCATTACGGTGTATATATTGTTTATGTAGAAACCTTTTAGAGTGCATGATTTTACAGTTTTTAAGTTTCTCAGTTGTGTTATAAAATAGACAAACTTTGAAACATCATGTGAAAGAATAGAACAACATACAGAGGTATTTAAAATTGCTTGAACCATTTTCTAAAATAGATCTCTGCTAAATCAGTATACTTCTCAACAGTGCAAGCATTGCCAGAAACAATACTTGTGAGTAAAGCTTCCCTTCTCACTGACTTAGCAGATGTGATAATGTGAGGCAGCTTATAATCAATGGTGATTTAATTTCTCAAAGTACAGTATATTATCAAATAACACAAAGGTATTAAATGGTCCTGTACCTGGTCCAAAGACTTTTCAATTGATGGATGAACATGCTTACTGCTTGATATTTCATAGCACTGCCTCAAATGATGATGAAGATCCAGTGTCCAAGGAATGTGAGTGAAATTGCAAGGAATGTGGCCAGCCGTTTGAGTCTTTCATGCTTTGGCTCAAACCTTATCATCCAGGACAGTACCATCGGACTAAACTTTAAATATCAAAATGCTACATATTTACTTTTTTTTTTCAATGATCAACCTTTACATGTACTGTAAGGTAACTAATGGAAAACCCAAACAATAATACAAAGATTTATGTGACAACACTATCACCCATCAAAAGAAAAGTTAGATATTTTTCATTTCCAACTTACCTAACCATTGTTCTTGGGTTATGGAGAATATAGTGCATCTGTGGAATCACAGAGGAATTCGGGTATAACTTGGTAAATCTAGTACGGTGATCGGTGATTAAATCCCTTGAGTAAGCTACTTTATAATGTTCTCTATTCTAAGAGTTGGGAGAAAATTCCACTTCTCATCATCATAGGGCATATGGCTGCCGATCACCTATGGAAGGAAATGGCCAAGGCACCACATCTCTGAAGCTAGAATCACATTACGATCAACAGAATTACCAACACACAGTTTAATGCATTTCCTATGGACTACTAATAATATAAGTGTTACCTTTTGTTTGAGAGAATTAGTGTTGGAATTTAAGGTGGCACTTGATATAACACATGGTTTGTTGGAAACATCTGGATAACCACAATCTAAATTTTTAATCCAAGAATTAAAATTTCCCAAAGTGAAAAAACTGCTGCTCATCTATAGATATTTGAGGAGTTCTTTGACTTCATAGTGAAGAAACCCCTGAAGGATATCATGCATTACATCACTCGAAAGACCTTCTATGACATACAAGTAATGTGACTGGTTCAGGGCTGATCTTAGATTTATTCGTAACTGTGAAGAAATGTCAATGACTGAATTTTCGATTGCTGTGCACAGCAGATCATACATTGCTTGAGTGTGTAATTGGAAATCATCTTCCACAAACTGTGAGGAATTATGAGAAAGTTATTGGATTTCAACACCACACTTCAATTACAAATTTTATCGTACACAATTTTCAACACAGTTTTTCCATGTAAGTCACAGGATCTGGTGGTTTAATCATTAAAGGGGGGGGGAGAGTATCTTTGGTACTAGATGTAATGGTTCTCACATTGCGAAAGAGAAAGTTCAGCAAAAAGTTATCACAATGAGCAAAAGCCTAGGAAAAAACTTATGAGTTGGCGGCAAAGTGCAAAGGGCAAAGTGAATGGGAAGAAGTTTAGACGCTTACTTTATTGTCAGTGGAAAAATGGTTCATCCTTTGCCTACCTTTGTAGCTACATCATTTGCATCTCCTATGTAAACCCTGCACTACAGTGCAGAACAGCCTCCAGTGTTAAAGCCTACAATCTCCTGGGATGCTAAATTATCACCGGAAACAAAGCTGATGGTTCCTTTTAAAGACTTTCTTTCCCCATTTATGGTAAACTGGTATCCTCCATCCTTAAGAAATAAATAGGGACCTTAAGGTCCGAGGATGGCGGATGTCTACAACGGCTGCCATGACCGAGAGGGACTGGGAGGAGGTTGCCGTTGCAAGGCGCAAAAAATCCTTAAGAGACTAAGCCCTTATGAAAGGTATGGGAAATTTGACCTATATGATATGGATGACAGTGAGTGTTTATCCGAGTTTCGTTTTCGTAAGAGTGACCTTCCCGTTCTTTCTGAAGCCCTACATCTTCCTAACTACTTTAAATGTCAACAATATGCGCTGGAATTGAAGGGTTGTGTATCGCACTTTAAAGGTTTGCGTACCCATGTAGACTCAGTGATTTAATTCCATGATTTGGCTGCCCAGTTCCAGATCTAAGTATGATTTCCAACCTTGTGGTGGATACAATTTTTTGGGAACGTAATCACAGAATAACTCAGTGGAATGATACACTCCTGAACCCAGCACTTCCAGAAATGTATGCTTGTGCAATTCAGAAAAACGGTAGTCCATTACACAACTGTTTCAGTTTTAGAGATGGAACATTACAGCTAATTTGTCAACCTGACCTATACGAGAGGATTGTGTACAATGGGCATAAGGGAGTACATGGTCTAAAATACCAATATGTGGCAGTAGCCAATATGTATGGCCAAGTAGGTAATTTTACAATTGAAGTAATAAATCTGTTTGGTTGAATTTTAAAATCTCATGCCAACCATAAACTACAATAGCACTTATGTTGATCTCATTTTAAAGGGCAGAATGTATGATTCAGCCATGTTGGCCAATTCTGATCTTCTTGATGAACTCGAGCAACATGCACTCTCAACAACAAAAAAAACCAATGGCTCTCTATGGCAACCTGGCCTGTCCTCTGCATGTTCACCTCCAGTTACCTTACAGAGGCGGAATTACATCACAAATGGAGCTATACAAGAAAGCCATGAGCTCCGTTCGCATGTCTGTCGAGTGGCTTTTTGGGGACATTGTAAATTTTTTAAAATGTCACTTAGTGCAGTTCACAAAATGTACATTGTGGCTGCCATTCTGCAAAAGGCTTTAACCTGTATGTACGGTAACTCAACTTCAGAGTATTTTACTTTAAACCCTCCCACTATTCACAATTATTTTGCTTGATCAGGAACACAAAACGTCCAGTGTCTGTAACATTAAGTCTTTAATCAAGTTTATGTGAATCAAAAAGTCTGAACAGGAAGCTGATTTAACATGGAAAACCTAACAATGAAATAAAAGCAATTTTACAAAACAAAATTAAGAAACATGCCTGAAATTGCTGAAAACTACATTCATCTTGCACAGTACAAAATCAGGCCATGACTTAGTTTTGTTTTTCTATAAGGTTTATGATAATTTAACACTGCTGCTGCTGCATTAGCGCGAACATCTTAAAATTTTGCATTTGTTCTTGTTGCTGTTTAGTTTGCTGCAGCATGACCTGCATCAAATCTTGATGTTGTTTTTTGGACTGCTCCTCCATCTTACTTTCAGCCTCTAGTCGCCTCTTCTGTAGCTGCATTTTTTCTATTTTCCATTTCTACATGAGATCGTTCTTTTCTGACAAATATGCCACCGTGTCACTACCAATTCTTTCATTCTCTACCTCATCTTTCCTTTGTCTTTTATGTTTCCCGCTAAGGTTCTTTAGAGCTCTGTATCTCATTTCTGCTGCTTTCTGCGTAATTCGTGGTGAGTTTCACCACATTCATTGATAAGAACGTGAAGAAAAGAGAATAAGAGAACTCACTGAGCAATCTTCTTGGCACTCATGTCGGCTGCAGCTATGACATGTTTAGTGAAGAATAAAAAAAACTTGTTTTTTCTTGAAAATCAGGTCCCAGAAGAGTAGCCAAACAAATTTAAATTATTATTGACTTGGTGATGCGCAATTTATTCGAAAATTATCAAAGATATTTTATAAAAACACCATAAGCAACTGACTTTTTGTACGAAATGGCAAACTAGTTGTTTTGATGTCGCAGACAACACAGCTACGGTACGAATTTACGGGGAACGGCTACCAGAAGTAGGTAAACATGCATCCAAACTTCTGCTAGCCATCATAGACATTTGCCTTCCTCGGATCTTAAAGTCCCCAATATGGATCAACTACAGTGGAACATAAACAGTAAACTGAAATCATGAAACAAAGGGTTTCAGGATGTTACAATTGAAAGGGATGAGTATTATTGTCAGTGAGAACCACAAGTATGACAAAGTGTAGATTGACTTCACCATAATTTGTTTACCCCTTTCAAAATTGAGGGGTTGTTCAACCACTGCTCTAAACTTTTAAGAAGAGGGGTCTCCATGACTTCATCATTTAATTGAACCCTTCTTCTTTTTGCACCTTTCTGTCGATGACCATGGAAGTTTCCAAGCAGACGGTTCACAGGTTCCTGTTCAGGGGACATAACATGATGCGTGTTCATTTATTCTATTCCAACAAATTGTCATACTGATACAGAAACATCTAAGTTAGCCTAGCTAGCTGGTTCAAACAGAGCCCTAGCTGGTGCAAAACAAGAGAAGAGACCTTACATTTCTGTCTCTGGTAATACAGCTATCAATTGTTAAGGCATGTTTGAATGCTGTAAGCAGAATTTGGTGTCTTTAACAGCTGTATGCTAAGGTGCTTTTCTTTTCATCAAAGTAGGGATTTATTCCCTTATTATTAATGAGGAAATCCTAAATTGTACAATCTGTTTAATTTCTTATACTTACAACAAGACCAAAGATTTCTTTAAATGCTTGTTTTTGTCTATTTTCTGTCTCATGGTTTTGAAATGGGTTTGCCTTCTCAGAATTTTGCTCAAATAAAGCTTGCCGTGTTATGTTTTGTAATGCATGATTTTCTTCTTCCTCCATATTTAAAAGCTTATTGGCAATGTTAACACATGCTGCCATGACAGCAGCGGAGATAAGAGTACTGGTAATCTGTACAATGTCATCCAGAGCTTTTTGCAAGAGGTTGTATGTTTCCTTGATTCATAAAAGATATGCTACACTCTTGTTTCTTAACTGTTCATTTGGGAGATCATCTTTGTCTTCTTCAAAAAGTGCTTCATCAATAAGCAAAAGTAGTATAGCGCGTCTGACTAGCAATTCCCGCGCGGCCTGGGTCCGAGTTTGAGTAATAATTTATTCATTCCATGTAGGTACACGTGTTAGGGTTATTATTTAATTATATTTATGACGTGTAGGTACACGAGGGTAAAAATTGATTATTTAATCAGCGAGTGTCTAGATCGGCCATCTTTGTTATTAGAGATAAAGGTCGGTTTGATTTATATATGGAACGGTAGCGTAAAATTCATCCATGTGGGATACCTATTTGTGTGATGCGCATGTGCAATCTTCTGATTAAAAATGTACGCATGCGCAATGCTTTAGAGCCAGCCCCTATGTGGTATGAATGTCACGAAATGCCCTATGGCTGGTACTTATGTGATGTAAGACGTCACAAAATGTTACGTGTGACGTCATCTGCCCAGACTTGCCCACCCAAGCTAAATCTCAAGAGAGATGTTGTCTAAACTTGTCTAGGATTTGCTCAAGAGTTGTCTAGTATTGCTTAAGGCTGTCTGAATCTCTAGGGGTTAGGATTTATTATTTAAAGTGACGTCATTGTAAGTAGAAGGAGTCATAAACATGCCTGTTTTTCAATACCCCTACGATTTTACGTGTACATGCAAAACATGTGTCTGCTTACAATGCGTTTCACGTGGGTGCATCATCTTACATCCAATGTATTACTTGGTTGGTTACTGACATCAAGGCTATGACAGAATCTAAGCACTCTTTAAAATGGTATCGCTTACGCCATAAAAACCGAGTTATTCAGCCAGTCTCCATTACCATGGATTGTGACAGAGCTCTCGAGAGTCCTAGAGAAATTATCTATCGTAGTTATCTCTGCTCCCCATCTCGAGTACAACTTCGATATTGACCAGAGTAAGAAAAAAGGCCGCGCAAGTGTGTTGTTACATCCAATTCCGGGATGGGAGGATCCAAGGCTCAAAAGAAAATTTCCAATCTAAAACGCAAGATTCGTCAGCAAGCATCGAAACATGTTCATTCTTGTAAGGAAAAAGATCTGGAAATACAGGAATTAAAACTAAGGGAAAGACATCATGATATTATATTTTGCGATGCCTTACGATACATTTACCACCCCTATGGAAACCAGAGATGTATCTACTATACCAACTGGGATAAAGAAGTCGCAGATGGTTTCCATTCTGCCTACCACGAAATAGATTACAGATAGAGAGACAAAATGTAAAACCATGTAAAAGTTTATGAATTACAAAAAGTACGCTACGGGTGTTGAATAAAAATGTGTAATATTATAATTGTTTGAATTGTAATTAGTAGTTAACCAAAGATAATCTTCTATAAGGGGTGCTGCTACATCTTCCTCATAATCTACAAAACCCCAACTTATGACTGGTGTGACATTACAAATCTGATTCACAACCATAAAAAAGTGAAATTGGTTAAAAAGTACAACAATTTCATAATCTTCCATATCTAAAAGACACCATAGTGTGAAAAAAACTCGTCGAGATCCTCCAGAGGGAAATCATCCAAAGGGAATTCATTCTAAAAATGTAAAAAACTTAATTTCATAGTCATTACTTGACCACGTCGTAGCCAACCACTCATACCTATGGAGCTCTCTTTCTTGGATATTATAAAAATATTGTATGAATTGGTTTATGTTATACAGTGAAAGAACACAATTTAAAAAATCAACATCTTGAAAATAAACAGCTAAATTAAATTTTTCCATGACTGATAATTCAAATTTTAAATTGCTAAAAAACAAATAGAGGGCATCTGTATCCACATAGTTTTGATGTATCTACGAAAGAGAAACCCCATATAAACGAATATAAAAAAGTTGACCATAAAAGTAATTTTGCAGTAATTCCATGGGTATGCGATTACTACCAGGTAGTATTTCAACAAACGGTAACACGGAATTAGGTAAGATATACAAATATAAATAATGATTCCAGAATTGTCTTGGCGTATAAAAACTATGTCGTTCTTCAGCAACTAATTGTAACCTGAGGTAAAAATTTCTCATAAAACATGCTTGTATTGAAAAATAACATCTGGGAAGAGGTCGTTGAAAATGTCTTCGTAAAGAACGAATTAAATAGTATGTGGTAGTCTTTATAATCGGAAATCTAACTAAAAGTCTACAGATTGATTCTTGAGGTATCTATAAAATAGAAAATAAACATACTCGCATAAATAAATTGCTATGACAATAAGATCGGTTTAATCTTCTTGTTTCGTAGATACTCGCATGTATTCCTAACATATCACTTATTACAGTATTTTCTAAAAGAACATCAAAAAGTAATTGATAATAAAATGTATCGGGAAATAAGTGATGCACTTGAAAAAAAATTTTGAAATTCCATACAAAATTGCACATGAATCACATAATATTCCAGTCTATTTCTTATAATTCTTAGAGCTTGAAAAAGAGCTCTTAAAGAATTTCGAATGAAATTTGTTTCTTGATCAGTCACATAGAGCAAACATAAAGTTGACAGGTAATCATGTGGAGGAATCTGAAATCATTAAAAAAAGTCTAATTGAATTACTATTGTGTAAAATGTCGTAATAAAAAGAAAAATGAGCTCATATAAAATTCAGACTCTCCTACATGTCAATAAAATTTAAAGAGCCAAAAAAAAAAAAATGATTATCTAAAACGTTCACGAAACATATAGTGGCAATAACGAATAGAATCACGATTTGAATGCGCAGGGAAACGCAATTGAAACCTAAAAAATTGGTGTAGTACTCTTCTAATGTGATGAAAAAAAGCTACTAAAAACTCAGCGAAAGGAAAGTGTTGAGTCAAAAACAATCTGCGTATATGAGCTGGAACGATTTCATCGATATAGCGTTCAAAATACGTGTTAAAATCTGGAGGTTTATAAATTTCAATTCGAATCAAATCATGTTCCACATCCAGTCTAGTAAGAATATTCCGCATATCAGTGATCAGACGAAGTAAATAATTGCTCATAAACTCATGATCGACGATAAAATACGATGCTTCAAATACGTCATGCATCTAAAGATGAATAGAAAAAAGGTTGTCTTAGTTTTTCAAAATGTTTTTTTTTTTTTGAAATGTTCACGCAAACAACGATTCGTAAAATAAAAAACACACATACCTGTTGAATCCTGGCTTCGAGCGCTCCAGGTTGAAGCAATGCTTCCAAATCTTGGATGGCCTGTTGTCTTTGTGCTTCTCTCCTTGCCAAATTCTCGTTTATCGGTGGATTTCTTATTGGATCGATGGCGGCTTGGGCAGCAAATGGTCGTCGGCAGTGTCCACATGCAGCCGATGTATGGACATGTTGCTGGTAACATGCACGGTGAACTCGTCTTGTACAGCATGGTGTCGCTGTAGCATTATACATGTTTACAGTAATTGAAGTCAAACAGATGAAGCAATCGTAGGGCGCTCCGTCTTCTTCGACATCCTGACGTCTTAATCGTCGTGATCTTCTAACAGGAGGCATCTAAAAAAGAAAAGCAAAGTAAAATGTTAAAAAAGCAAATCTAGCACATAAAAAACGAATCGCAATCACAAACTTACCTTGTGTCACACTTGGAGTTCACGTAGAAGATCACACACACGTCAAAACTTCTTCTTACTGATAAAGTAGTCAAATCGTAGTCAAAACCTTGAACCAACAGTTGACGCTTCTGCTTTAAACGCAAGTTGAAAAGTGGAAAGCGTTTCAACTACGTTTTCGAATAAAACAGAGCCCCTTAGGGAGAATAATTAAACAAATTTGAAGCTGCCTGAGGCTGCCCAATCCCCTAAGGAAATCGTCGCCAATCAGAGTCGTTGTATACAGCCTGAAAAATTTGAAATTGAAATTTCAGTTGACGCTTCTGCTTTAAACGCAAGTTGAAAAGTGGAAAGCGTTTCAACTACGTTTTCGAATAAAACAGAACCCCTTAGGGAGAACAATTAAACAAATTTGAAGCTGCCTGAGGCTGCCCAATCCCCTAAGGAAATCGTTGCCAATCAGAGTCGTTGTATACAGCCTGAAAAATTTGAAATTGAAATTTCAGTTGACGCTCCTGCTTCAAACGCAAGTTGAAAAGTGGAAAGCGTTTCAATTACGTTTTCGAATAAAACGGAGCCCCTTAGGGAGAACAATTAAACAAATTTGAAGCTGCCTGAGGCTGCCCAATCCCCTAAGGAAATCGTCGCCAATCAGAGTCGTTGTATACAGCCTGAAAATTTCGAAATTCGAATTTCATAAAAAACTACTACAAAGCTTGCGCCATCATCTCAAAGGCTGCAGATGTAGATGAAGAAGTAGTAAAGTGTAAAGTTGTAGATTGAATTGAGGGATCGAGCGATGGCGAAACGAAAGTTTGACGAAGTGGAATATGGGGATGACAGTATTTCGGATGACTTATTAAACGAAATTGGAGAAGTCTTTGAAAATCAATATGGCAACGATGTGACAGACTCGCAAATGGTTCAATTTGGTCGTGAATTGGATCAACAACAATTAGATGCCCTCGACATTGGTTTGGATGAACAGCCTGAGCAAATTGGTGGTGGTATGCCCTTGTTTGAATTTGATTTTCAAAAATTTGGTCTCCCCAAGCGGTGGAAGAAATCAGTGGCGAATCAACAAAGATATCGCGCCACATTAAAACAGAGGCGTAACCCAACAAAGAACGATAATGTGTGAAAAGAAGTCACGGAGGCTTTAGTCAGGTAAGATGATCATGATTTAGTTTCTGTCGTTAAGTAATTGCTACGAGCACTATGAAACAGACATAGATAAAAATCATCATGTGTCTTCGATATATGGAGAAGCTGACCTAGCAATATCAAAACTTGTCTTAGAAATCAAAAATGAAAGAGAAAAAACTGCTAGATCCTTAAGGACCTTTTTTATTTCTTAAATCGATGAAAGAAACACTCCATCGCAAAAAAGTTACCGACCAGTGGCAAAACAAGACATTGAAAGATACAGATGAAGTGTTTTTAAACTTTAAAGCCGAGAAATTTGACCACCATGTACAAACACAACGCTTTACTGTCGGTGAAATCATGAATGGAAATGGCGAAGAGCGATTTGGTGCATATATGAACCAACTGGCCAATCAACTTAACTCGAATGAATCTTTTAGCCCTGAGGATAAGTTCGCCGTCGACCTCACCATCGTGCCAAAACCAAAGGAAGGTGGTAAATCTAAATTAACAAAGGGAAGACATAATATTGAAGATGTTCTCCACAACAAACAATGTGTGTTACCGATTAAAAATTCAGAAGACAACCTTTGCCTTGCAAGAGCCATTTGTCTAACAAAAGCCCACTTGCATAAAGACGATGGTGTAGAGGGAAAGCGTTACTATAAGAATCTTGGAAATAATCCGAATGTGCTCACCCGATGCGCCAAATTCCTTCACAAGCAAGCTGGTGTGCCCGAAGGCCCTTGTGGGCATGCTGAATTAGAAAAGTTTCAACAGTACCTGGCGCCCGACTATCAGTTGAAAGTGATGACCACATGCTATCCATATTGCATTACGTTTCAAGGAAACGTGGAATCACCAAAGTACATCATCCGCCTCCTGTATCAACCAGAGTATGAAAGCGATATGGGTCATTACCATGGATGTACGTCTTACCTCGGATTCCTGGAAAGATCGTATTTTTGTGACACGTGCAACAAAGGCTTTGACCATGACGACTTCCGCAACCACCCATGCGAGGGCCGTCGCTGTAAAGCATGCAAGCAGACCAAATGTGGTACAAAACCTCACGAACCCACTCTCCACTGCTCAGCCTGCAACCGCCATTTTTACAGTCAGAACTGCCTCGCCTTACACCGCGCAAAAAACATCTGCATGACCCTAGTACGATGCGGTAACTGTTGCAAACAATTTCAGCCAGACCCCCAACAGCTACACCGTTGTTACTTTGGAAAATGCTCTAACTGTAAGGAGTACGTGGACCTTAGAGAACACAAATGCTACATTCAATCCATCCCTGAACAAGAAGATTCACCCAAACAGAAAACGAAAGCCAAAATCAAGAAGCATTTAAAAATAAACCCTGAGGCATCCGTGTACGAAGAACCACCCATCTTCGTCTACGCGGACTATGAAGCCATGATCAGCGAAGACGGAACACACCTACCCATTTGCGTCTGCGCTCAAACTTCCGACAACAACACCTCCTTCACGTTTTATGGCGACGATTGCAGTAAACAGTTTCTGGAATTCTTGACGAACCTTACCGAAGATCAGTACAAAGAACCGCGTGAAGTCATCTGCATATTCCATAATTTAAAAGGGTATGATTCCATTTTCATACAGCATCAGCTTGTGATAGAAGGAAGAAAATTCGATGTGATGATTCCTAACGGCACAAAGATGATTTCTCTGGAAGCTGGTAAAATCACATTTAAAGATTCCATGGCTTTTCTTCCCATGGCTCTATCCGCATTTACCGACATCTTTGGTCTCACCAAGTTGAAAAAAGGCTTCTTCCCACACAAGTTTCATACGCAAGAAAATCAAAGTTATGTGGGTCCGTTACCTGAAGTTTCTTACTATGATCCGGAGGGAATGTCGAGTAAGAAAAAAGAAGAATTCGAAGTGTGGTATAGAGAAGAAGCAGCCAAACAACACCCATTTGATCTCAAAGAAGAACTGCTTGCATACTGTCACTCAGATGTTGCGTTACTGAAAGCTGGATGTCACAAATTCATTAAAGAATTTAAAAGCATCGCCGGTTTCAATCCTATGGAAAAATGCGTTACGATTGCCGCAGCGTGTAACCCTTATTGGAGGAGGAAATATTTACCCTTAGATCTCATAGCAGTAGAACCTTCATCGGGGTGGCGAGGTGCCTGTATGAATCACTCCAAAGCATCGTTGGAATGGTTGATGTGGCAAGAATACAATACCGGAAGTAGAATTCAGCACGCATGTAACGGAGGAGAGTATCGTATCCCTGTTGACCCTACCTCGTACTTCGTGGATGGTTACGATGCACAGACCCGCACAGTCTACGAATTTCACGGGTGCCTCTATCATGGTTGTCGTACCTGTTACACCAATCGCAAACAAATTCCGTTCTGTTCCAATGGGTTGACCGTAGAAGCCTTACGCCAACAGACCAGTCAGAAAATCCAAAAACTCCGTGGTAAAGGGTATCGAGTGGTGGAAATCTGGGGGTGCGAATGGGAGAAAGAGAAGAAAGAAACACCAGCCATTACCGAATTTCTAAAAGATTTGGATATCGTCCCTCCTTTGAACCCAAGAGAAGGTTTTTACGGTGGTAGAATGGGCGCCGCCTGCCTGTACCATAAAGTAAATGAAGAAGAAAGAGAAGAAATCCGCTACATCGACGTAGCCTCTGAGTACCCCTACGTAAACAAGTATGGTACGCACCCTGTAGGCCACCCGGACATCTATTTGGAACCAGAGAATCAAGACCCTAGAAGTTACTTTGGCTTGATGACTGTGGACATCACCCCACCCGCTGAGCTGTATAACCCAGTCTTACCTTACTGTCATAAAATTGGAAACTCCTACAAGCTGACCTTCCCGTTATGCCGTAAGTGTGTAGAAATAGAGACACAGAAAGAACACATGCTGGAATGCGACCATCACTGCCCAAACAGTGATGAAGAACGAATGTTACGAGGCACCTGGTGTACCCCAGAGATACATAAAGCAATCGAAAAAGGATACCGACTCGTCCGAATTCATAAAGTATGGGACTTCCCGCAGCGTCAAAAAGGTCTGTTCCAGCCGTACGTGGACACCTGGTTAAAAATTAAGCAAGAGAGCGGTGGCTACCCAAACTGGGTGCGGACCGATACGCAAAAAGAAAAATACATTCATTGCTCTGAAGATAAAGAAGGTATCCGACTCGACCCTACCAAGATCGTCAAGAACCCCGGAAGAAAAGCCACAGCTAAACTCATGCTTAACTCCTTCTGGGGGAAATTTGGCCAACAAAACAATAAATCGAAGACCAAACAATGCACGCAACCCTACGAACTCCTAGATCTGCTTGACGACCCTCTCTTCACCATGACAGACATCCGTATTCTTAATTCCGAAGTAATAGAAGTATCGTATAAACGCGATGAAGAAGATCCTTACAAAGGGAGCAATACTAATATTTTCATCGCAGCATTTACCACCTGTTTGGCCCGCCTTAAATTGTACGAATCGTTGGAGAAGTTGGGTGACCGAGTCTTATATTACGATACAGACTCAGTCATATATACATGGAAACCGGGGCAGACAGAAATCGAGCTTGGCGACTACCTTGGCGACATGACCAACGAGCTTGACAATGATGACTTTATTGTAGAATTCATCTCCGCAGGTGCGAAGAACTATGGGTATCAAACAAAGAATGGTAAAGTGGTGTGCAAAGTAAAGGGATTCTCGCTGAATGTATGTGGTGCCAAACAGCTGAATTACATCATCCGCCAAAATATTTTGGATGAGGTTCTTCACCCGTTAGATGAACAAAGAAAAACGCTGGTAGTCAACCCGACCCACTTTGTCAGAAACCCCACTGTGAAAAAAATTAAGACTGAGACTCAGACTAAGTCGTATCAACTCGTGTTCAACAAGCGAGTTTTAGATCATTTGCACGGTTTTAAGTCTTATCCTTACGGATATTCGCGACTGGATGCACAAGATTTGGAGAACATGGTCTTGTTGCTTTTATAAAAAAAAACAACAAAACAAAACAAAAAAAAACACATTGACACTCAAAGCGAACATTTTTTTAATTATTTTTTAAATAAAACAAAGTTTTAAAAAAGTTTTCATGACGTGTTTGTTAATTCTTAAAGTAAACGGTTAATTCTTGAATCCCTTGGGTGACCACTTCCATTTCGGTGAGGCGTACTACTTTTCATAACTTTTCATAATAATCCCTTCATGTTTCTTCGATTTGTTTTTCTTGAGTAATCATGCATAATTTATATTTGCAGCATCGACATGAATACACTCGCGGCATCTTTAGTGTCTACAACTTTACAAAAAACACTACACTGAACATTTTCTATGTTGTTCAATATTATCAAGCCATTTCTTTGAAAAATAAGTTCTTTCCTCCCCGTTACGTATCATTTCTTTTAATTGGAGTTCTTTTTTATCTTCCCATGTATGATCCGTTTGCATTTCTTTCTCTTCTTCTTTTCCTGGGCTTCGGTTTTTGGCGGCGGCGGCTTCAGACAGACAGCCTCTGGCTGCCTCTTTTTGGTTAAACATGTTATCTCACTCGTCTAAAATGCAATGTGACTATAGAAGCGCCGTCTGTAAACTGAGCCAAATTATTATTTTCTGACTCACTCATCTGTGTTTCCACCACAGTGATGTGATTCTTACGTAACTTGATGTAATGAATCTGCTTGGGTTCGTAATAATAATTTCCTTCCAAGATTGGTTGGTAGTGTATTTGACGTATAAGATCAGTCGTCTGATCTTCCACGCATACTGGAGCACAAAGCGAGGAATACATATACAAGGTTCGTGGGTAAGGTAAATTTAAGTAGGTACTTCTCTTAGTATTGATAAAGGTCCAGTTCAGATCGCTAAGAAGAAATCTATGATATTTCTCCGCAAATCGGTCTTTCCATGGGATCTCATATCTGTAATACGCCAAACTGGATGTAGTAAGCCTCCTATCATAACTCCACACCGTACCACGTTTAGTCACTGTGAGATTATGCGCCGGTCGTGATACATTACAATTCTCTTCAATAGGACCACTAACAATACGACCATAAGGAACTGTTGTTTTTTTCGTCCAACCAAACAACTCACACATGTCTCGAGGTAACTCAAAATAGAGACCGTCACGAATTTCTTGATGAGTTATATCAGTCGATTTTACCTTGTCTACTGTTACAGTAATCGTTTCTTTATCCTCATCCGCAATCACTTCAAATTGTGCACTGTGTCCTGAAGAAAAATGACTCCCAAATGCCGAGCCCATATTCATAATACATTTTAAACGTTCTTCATCAAACAAGGATTTGAGTAAATCGTGAACTGTCTCGATACGATGTTGTTTGATGTTTCCATACATGACATTGTAAGTCACTTTATGTTGTATATCCCCAGTGGCTACTTTAATTCGTCCTGTGGTTAGCAAGACATCATCGTCTTTTAATCCTTTGAGGTAACTGGACACCTTAGAATCGTGTGGAAGCGAAATACTACTCAATCCCACTTCCCACTCTCCTTCTAAATCGATGCGTTTGTCTAATCGATTTTTCCAAGAATTGTTTTTGTTGTCTGGAAAATATTTCAGACTCCCATCGTTACTGGGTAACGTCAAGTAAAAAGTATCACCTGACATGATGTGCTCTCGATAACAACACAACTACAAATGAACCGGAGACACACACTGTGTTGCATTTTCACAAGTTTTATTTCATCATTGTAGAGGCGTTACAATTTTGTTTTAAGTTTAGCTTGCATGATTCGCTTCACAATTTGCTCGGTTAAACTCTTCTTGCCTGGAAACTTATCGATTCCAGCTACCATCTTACGATCTGCAATATGTTTGTCAGCGAGTGATTTAGCTTTACTGTAATCAATATCGTGCTGTTTGGCTAATCTATCAAGACGATTAATTCCTGGATCACCACGTTTTAATCACTTGGCTAATTTTGTACCTGGACCCATATACTGGTATCCGGGCCAATGAAACTCGACACCTAACTTTGAAATCCATTTCTGAATATCAAATTTTCCTCCTCTCTGTCATTTCCTTTTAGCCTTAGCTTGGACGGTTCTTGCCCCTCCCTTTGCCTTTCTTTGACTTTGGCGTTTCGTCATCTTCAAACACTTGATACGGGTCGTAACCTCTCTTTTCCCAAGGTTCCCAGTTACCAAATTCTTTGAGTCGTTCCAACTCCGTGCGATGCTTTTGCGGTGTGGGAACAGGAAGCTTTCGTTTCGTTTTTTGTATCTTTTGGGATGGAGCTGTGAGAAAAGGAATCTTGGACGTTCCCGGTTTCGCAGGGGTGACGGGTTCGTTCTTGATCCCCACAGGTGTGACAGGTTCCCTCTTGAGTGTCATCTGTGGTACGGCGGCTTGTCCCCTCATATTTATGGATTTAATGAGTTCTTTTAACAATCCCTCTTGCAACCCCTCCATGAGATTACCATCATCGTCTCGAGGTGGAGGTTCTACACCACCGGCGATAGGAATCTGTCTCAATTTGTCAGTAAGCTTGCGTTCTTGCATTAACAATTCTTTTACCACAGGTTCTTTTAAAGCAGCAGGAGTAGATGTATCTTCTAATAACAGTTTTGCTTCGGCGGCCACGCGTGCGGCTTTGTCCAGAAGAGTACTTTTAGTAATTTTTCCCTTGTAATAATCTACCAAAGCTCGAAACTCATCGGGTTTCACCATTAAGAACGTCTCCATAATCACCACAAGGGTTCCACCACACGTATACGCAACCACTGAAACAGTTGAACTATTGTGAGTCTACACTCGGTTGAATCCTTATAGTCACAGTCGTCGTCGTCGTAGTTGAATTGCAAATCAAACTTTATACCCGTGTCCACTTCATTTATACCCTCTTGCACGGTGACAGTGACAGTCATGATCTCTTGAAACACTGACAGAACGCGTCGTTCATACCACTCCAAAAGCTACCGCCTGTTTGATTCACAAGTAATTGACACCGCTTTCTTAAAGAGTTCCTCCATTTACCCAACTCTCTCAACATCACTCTATATTTCTTGAGTTTGGCAACGGTGGGCGGTGATAAAGGTATCTTTTTCTTCAACATGATCAACGTGAATTCACTGACGGCATTGATTTGATCTTTACTAGCGTGAAGTAATTTTTTCCATACGACGCTTTCTATTTTTTCTCTTGTAAAATAGATTTTAAAAAATCCACATTTCTCTTGAAACTATTAATCATCGCTTTTTCTTTGTAAGAGCTTCTAGGCCTTTTTTAGCCCCAAACGATACAGCTCCTCCAAGGGCACTTAAACCCAATGCTTTACCTCCAGCAATGAGGGCTGGAATGAGTGCCGCTAATGGTAGGATACCTCCTTTTTGTCCTCTTTTGGTTAGTCTTCTTTTCACTCTTCTTCTCCTTCGGGTTGTGGGCATACTGCGCTTATAACCAGGCATCTTTCTTATTTATTTCTCTCTGTAACAGCGTATACACCCTTCGTGTCGTAACAAGTGACTTAAAAGTCTCTTAGAATCTCTACTTGCAGGGTGTACGTCAAATAACAAATAACCATAGGGTCTGTCCGTACATGCATTATATATATCCATAACAGGTGACATTCATGTGGTGAGAATATTGTGTGAAAAGATTAAGTATTTCTCTGTCATCTCCTCCCTCCGACATGAGATCATCCAAGACAAGAATACCCCCTCGTTTATCTCCAAACCATGTTGTTAAATCGTCGTGGGTAGGCACTCCTTTAAAAAATTCTATGCCATGGCGTTGCATGTCGTCAAACTTATTTTGCCAGGATCCATAACAGTAATGCACGCGGGGCGGTCTTTCGTCAAAGAGGTCTAAATTTTCCAAAAGTAGGTGATGGAGAAAGGTGGTTTTTCCACAACTTGTGGGGCCCACAATCAAAATATTGGAAGGGGATTTGAACGAAAATCCTGGTTCCACACACTTGAACATGATTGCTAAAAGCGAGTTACACAAAAGTGACACGATTTTATTTCATTCCTTTTATTTTATTAACGATTGAATGATGTCTTCTAACATGTCGCCTACTTTATCATCGTTGCCTACATAATCCTTTTTAGAAAACATGGAAAAAAACTCATCCATACTCTTGCGTCTTGCTTTACACATTAAATAAATGATGGCATAGTTTCCACAACTTGCGGTTTTTACAGATTGTAATGCTCGAGTATTTTTATGCACGTAAGGCCATCGGTTTAACCATACAATGAATGGTGTCAGAAATTCATAGGTGGTTAAATCTAAACCATAACTATCTAAAATTTCACAGCTATCGTGTTCGGTCCACACAGCTATCCAGTGTTCCCCAGGTTTGTCTGCAGGGTGGGTATTGACAATGTAAGCTCTCGGTTTCACACGTTCAGGCGACTCGGGTAGTTCGTCACAGGCTAAAGCACTCACAAAGTACTTGTGGAGTTCTGGATCGCTATCCGCTAAAACGTTGAGTTGATTCGTAGTCAGCCACACAAACTCCATCACTAATGCACTTCCATCGTGGTAGCTCCTTTAATGCCATCAATTTCCATAATGCCTTCATATTCAGCATAAACGATCACCGTTTTCTGACTTGCTTGCCCTGCACATTTAATGTGAATGTTGATGAAGCCTTCATTTTTAGGTAGAAGAACCGGGTCATCGTGTCTTCCATTGGCCACATTGGAAAACGCAAACAGCGTGCAATTTTTTCCATGACCCCAGTCTTTGAATCGCACCATGTTTCCTGCATTTCTGTACAGACAGCCAGTAGCATCCAGAAATCGGTGATAACCCACCAAGTCTTTTTGACCATTAGCCGTGTTGAGTTCCAAAGTCTCGCATGGGTATTCTTCTCCATTCACAATTTGTTTGATGTATTCCACCCCAAATTTTCCAAAGGCCAAGGGGTCTTTGTTGTATTGACCATTGAATGCAGTAGTTTTCAGAATACCAATGATGACTCTTTGGGGCACCTTTCCATTGAATGGGTTGTTGATTTCTTTAGAAGTGGCCCCATTGTCTAAGGGAAACTGTCTCATCTCGGTACGGATCATGGGATACTTGGTTGGGGTTTTGGTCATCATACTCATCATGCTCATGTAGACGGCTGGATTTAGGGACACCAGACATAGAAAGAAGGTAAGTTTAATATCCTCCGGGTTGACTCGGACTTCCTCACTGGGTGGATTGGCTTCTCCATTCATGAATAAAGCTGCTGGATTCAGATAAAATTCCAATTCCAAAAGAGTTTTGGGGACGATCCATTTTCCTTTGTGAAACGCGTCTATAAACGGTTTCATTCTCAAGATTCTCCTCTTTCCTCCTGCATAGTAATCTGTTGCATCTGCTCTCTGTCTCTTGATGCTTTCTTGATGATTTATGGAAAGAGCTGTATACGCATCATCATCCATCTTGACATTTGCAGCGGTGTAGGTTACAGGAGAATCAATTTCATTCCGCCATCCAGCTGGTTCGAGTATCGTCTCTCCATCATTCCTGTCATAATTAAGGATGGTCTGTATGAAAGCTTTAAGATGGTACATGTCTACTTGTTCGGTGAGTAAGGTACCATTGGCTCTGAAATTGATTTGCTTGAAGAGGGTGTGTGCAATATTGTTGGCTGGTGAAGTCATCACACCCACATTGTTTGCGCGTGCTGTGAGACTGGCATTTTCTGTGGTTTTGAAACCCAAATCCAGTTGGACAAAACTTCTCGAAAGATCGATGAGATCTGATTGTCGTTCCACGTACACTTGGATAGGAGTAATACTAGATGTCTGAGGTGGTATTTTGACATATCGGTACTTTACCGTAGAAAGATCTGTAGGTGGTATTCTAAAGAGATCTAGACTTGAATTCTGCTCTGCCCCTTTGATAGACATGGTGATGTGTCTGTTTCAACGTCTTCTGCGTTTATGCACACGTTGTCGTGTTCCTATTTTCTTTATACGACTTGTGAGAAATCCTCCTCGTTGCTGTTGTTTTCTTCTTCTCCCTTTATACCTTTTTAAGATGGAAGACACAGGATCTGTCGGTGATGTTGTGCCTACACCAATGATAGGATCACTTTAACGTACGGTGCTGATGCGGACCATGTTTTATTCTCCAAAAATATCGTTCAACCTCTTGGCAACTTTTCTCTTCAATTCGTTCTTGAGCGCTTGGGAAGCCCCTCTCTTTATACCTCGCGGCACTTCTGATAATGAACGCTTTTTGACACTGCTTTTAAGGCCTCCTGTTACACCTTTCAAAAAATTTTTAGCCATGTCTTTGACTCTGGCACCTATTTGAGGATCACCCCAGGATCCGATAAAAGGTGGTGGGGCATAAGGTGAGGGGGTCTGCCAGCGCATGAGACCACCACCTCCTTGTTCATTTGGCACATACACTTTAAAGCGTGTCAAACTTCCTCCTCTCATGATGTGATCACCACAAACACACAATTCACTTTAAATCTTTTTTATTAATCCAACTGTTATATTTGCTAGGGTACCCTTTCCACTTGACAAACAATTTATCCTTTTGTCTCTTTAATACTTTTTCCACTCGAAAATAAGTCGCTTCATCTACATGTACTTTTTGCAAATCCCACACATAAAATGTGCCTTGTAAGGGCGTGTCATCCAATTCTTGCACTTTATAGGTCGTTACCATTCCGGGTACGACTTTACAAACTTGAAACACTTCTTCCGTCTATCCTGGTAGATACCCTTTCTTAAACGGTCTAAATTTTTTATTCAATCGGACTTTATCGTCTACTTTAAATGCAGGCTTTTTTTCTTTCTTAGTCTGATATTTCCCATACAAATTGTTCCACACTTCTTTGGCATTGAATGTGGTGACTTTAGCTGGTGTGGTTTTAATACTCCTGTGATAGGTGCGATTGTATTGATTGACAAGTTTGGGCAATATGTCTACATATTTGAGTGTGTTGGCAGCCGTGAAATAGCGATACAATTTCGATTTAAGGGTTCTATTAAATCATTCGACGATACTGGCTTTGGCATCTCCATGAGTAGAAAAGTGATGAATCTCCTGTGTTTTCATCAATGATTGAAAGGTCTGATTGTAAAATTCTTTGCCTGCATCTGTCTGTAACGTCTGAGGTTTCCTTCCTTTGGCTTCCTTGAGTATTTTTGCAAACGTATCCGTCACATCTTTTCCTGTTTTCTTTTTAATCGGCCGGGCCCACGCGTATTTGGAAAAGGCATCGATCATGACCAATACGTATCGGTATCCCTTGTTCTGTTTGGATAGGGTCTGTGCTTCGATCAAATCTGCTACCCATTGTTGATCAATGTCGAATGTTTATGACTCCTTCTACTTACAACGACTTCACTTTAAATAATAAATCCTAACCCCTAGAGATTCGGACAGCCTTAAGCAATACTAGACAACTCTTGAGCAAGTCCTAGACAAGTTTAGACAACATCTCTCTTGGGATTTAGCTTGGGTGGGCAAGTCTAGGCAGATGACGTCACACGTAACATTTTGTGACGTCTTACACCACATAAGTACCAGCCATAGGACATTTCGTGACATTCATACCACATAGAGACTGACTCTAACGCATTGCGCATGCGTACATTTTTAATCAGAAGATTGCACATGCGCATCACACAAATAGGTATCCCACATGGATGATTTTTACGCTACCGTTCCATATATATCAAACCGACCCATATCTTTAATAACAAAGATGGCCGACATGGACACTCGCTCATAATTAGTCCATTTCTACCCTCGTGTACCTACACGTCATGAATATAATTACCCAATAACCCTAACACGTGTACCTACATGGCATAAATAAATTATTACTCAAACTCGGACCCAGGCCGCGCGGGAATTGCTAGTCAGACGCGCTATACTACTAGCAAATCACCAGCTTGCTCTTCAGGCTCAATTTCTTGCACTAAATCTTGTGGTTGTTTAACGTCCTCGAGTTTTAAAATTCTCGCACTTCGCACTCGAATTTTAAAACTTGATAAAACACTGCTGCTTGTGTTTTAAACATTACAAAAAGCAAAAAACTGCTCAGCTAAAATATCCCTCCTGGGGACCACTGCACCCAACTTTCTTTTGTACATAATTCATCTAGTACCCAGAATGCTAATGATTACCGCTGTGCCATATGCATAGAGGTTTGCCATCTTTCTGTATGCTTTTGTGGTTTTCTCTCCTTGTCATCATATTGTTTGCAATTGCTTGTAACATCAATTTCTTCCTCCAGTAGAATACTCTTATCAAAGAATCTCGCAAATACTTTTTTTCACGTCTTTTAAACGTAAACATTGGTGCAAAATAACATTTTGTTAGATTGACTCGTCGAAAAAACATTTATTCAGTTTATTTGGGAAAGAAAAAGTGGGGTTTCTATTTTCCTGATTGCATCCCAGACGATTCCCAACATTGCCGATAGTATAGGAGATTGCATAAATGCAAGTGCAATTCAGGGTTTATGGGTATGAATGATGCTATGCGTTCCTCAACTCCAATGGGAGAGCCTAAGCAGTAGTTTACAACAACACTTCAGTATAATGAGGCTGGACCTGGTTATTCACAATAACTTGCATCTATGTTTCGCATAGCCACAAGTTGAAAACCTTGTGTAAAACATAACTGAAACATGTGAATGTGGATAATCAAGAGATTTAAAGTGCATATCACCCCTGACATGAGAATGCCAACAAAGGAACTCGAGCTTGAATAAATATGAATGCCGTTTATTTTGCTTTGATATCATCATCTGTTCCAGAGACATGGCTTTTTTAAACTCTATGCGAATTAGATGACATCACATTTGACCAAAACTACCAGGCCTAATAGTTGCCCACTTCTATGACTAATCCAAAAATGCTTGACTCTACATATGTTTGTTGCAGGGTTATGGAGGTTGAATTTATAATGAGTCAAACCAGACGTCACCAACCATCTAATTAGCATACATATTTATGATTAAATATCTACAGCTTAAAAAACAATCAAAATACAAAATCAATGACATATGTAATAAATTTAATTTGGAATCAAATAGCACTCTATTATCTATTTATGCATTTGCTCTTGCAGGTTTTAGTAAGTTTATATTTACCACAGCTGGCCAATGACCACCACAGAGAGGGTATTTTGCAAGAATTACTTGGTTAACTATTGAATTCAATGATTGAGAATCAATGATTAGGAGTAAGCGAACTTTGTGTCATGCAATTTTGCTCTGAAATCATACTTGTGATTTCAAATCGAACAAGTGCACTATTACCACTTTATTTCATCCATGTTGAAATCAAATAATAACAAATTATCGGCTTATACTATTTTGCGAAACGAAACGAAACGAAACGAAACGAAACGAAACGAAATCGGGTCAGATGAAATAAAACAAAAGGAATAATGCAGATATATTTTCAAATAAGGTAAAGATAACTTTCACAAGGATTTTGGAGTAATCGTTCATTAATAAGAAGGATTTTTATTCATTTCGCAAAATAGTAATTTTAGGAGAGTTACTATTTTGCGAAATGGACTATTTTCACTCTGCGGTGACAACGTGACCTCTTTCATGTCGCGAAAATACATTTAAACATTACAAATTAGTATATAACCGAACATTTTGGCCTCCTCTTATTTCTTAAACCGTATTAAAATATATTTCGCAAAATAGTAATTTTAGGAGAGTTACTATTTTGCGAAATGGACCATTTTCACCCCTGCGATGACAACGTGACCGCTTTCATGTCACAAAAATACATTTAAACATTACAAATTAGTATATAACCGAACATTTTGGCCTCCTCTTATTTCTTAAACCGTATTAAAATATATTTCGCAAAATAGTAATTTTAGGAGAGTTACTATTTTGCGAAATGGACCATTTTCACCCCTGCGATGACAACGTGACCTCTTTCATGTCACAAAAATACATTTAAACATTACAAATTAGTATATCACCGAACATTTTGGCCTCCTGTTATTTCTTAAACCGTATTAAAATGTATTTCGCAAAATAGTAATTTTAGGAGAGTTACTATTTTGCGAAATGGACTATTTTCACCCTGCGGTAACAACGTGACCTCTTTCATGTCAAAAAAATTCATTTAAACATTACAAATTAGTATATCACCGTACATTTTGGCCTCCTGTTATTTCTTAAACCGTATTAAAATGTATTTCGCAAAATAGTAATTTTAGCAGAGTTACTATTTTGCGAAATGGACTATTTTCACCCCTGCGGTGACAACGTGACCTCTTTCATGTCACAAAAATACATTTAAACATTACAGATTAGTATATCACCGTACATTTTGGCCTCCTCTTATTTCCTAAACCGTATTAAAATGTATTTCGCAAAATAGTAATTTTAGGAGAGTTACTATTTTGCGAAATGGACCATTTTCACTCTGCGGTGACAACGTGACCTCTTTCATGTCGCGAAAATACATTTAAACATTACAAATTAGTATATAACCGAACATTTTGGCCTCCTCTTATTTCTTAAACCGTATTAAAATATATTTCGCAAAATAGTAATTTTAGGAGAGTTACTATTTTGCGAAATGGACCATTTTCACCCCTGCGATGACAACGTGACCTCTTTCATGTCACAAAAATACATTTAAACATTACAAATTAGTATATCACCGAACATTTTGGCCTCCTCTTATTTCTTAAACCGTATTAAAATGTATTTCGCAAAATAGTAATTTTAGGAGAGTTACTATTTTGCGAAATGGACAATTTTCACCCTGCGGTAACAACGTGACCTCTTTCATGTCATAAAAATTCATTTAAACATTACAAATTAGTATATCACCGTACATTTTGGCCTCCTGTTATTTCTTAAACCGTATTAAAATGTATTTCGCAAAATAGTAATTTTAGGAGAGTTACTATTTTGCGAAATGGACTATTTTCACCCCTGCGGTGACAACGTGACCTCTTTCACGTCACGAAAATACATTTAAACATTACATTATAGTATATTCTCAAAGATCTCGGTCACCTCCTCTTTAATGTAGTAATTTCTAAACTAATTGAATGTAGTAATTCCGAAAAATGTTTATTTTGCGAAATGGATTATTTACTCTCGGCGGGCGGCAACGATGTTGCCATTCTCGTGTCACACAATATGTATTTGGTTGATGCAGTAAGATTTTGTCCTCTTCTTATTTCATAAACCGTATTTAAATACATTTTGCAAAATAGTAGTTTTTGGCAGGCATACCATTTTGCGAAACGAAATATTTTTATCCTTCAATGACAAAAATGTCTTTCTTTTTGGGTCAAAAATTTACTTTTAAACATTACGTTATGGTGCACTCCCGATCTTGGTCACCTCTTTATTTCCTAAACCGTATAAAAATATATTTCTTTAAGTAGTAATTTTGGAAGAATTGCTACTCTACGAAATGAATTATTTTTACGCCATGATGAAAAATATTGCCATTCTATTGTCAACAGTACATATTTGATTACTTAAAAGATTTACATATGCTTTAAAAATTGCAAATTTACTGGAAACCCAAAACCTGAGAAAGTTTTAAATGCGATTGAAATACAGTAGAACCCCCCTAACTCGAACCCCCCGGTAACTCGAATGAGATCCAATTTCCCTTGGCCCAATTTTTCAGTCATTTACTATCAGCTAACTCGAACAATTTTTTGTCTCCTTAGGAAATTTGAGCTGGCTGAGTTCTACTGTAACGACTGAATAGACTAATGTAGAAACAAGAATTGAAATACTATTAATTTTTTGAATTAGGTCTTTGTGTAATTTTCGCCTATTTCAAACTTCAACATTGCAAGAAGCAAATCCTTGTGACCGTCTTTCAAACGCTGCTTTACACTGTTGGTGACAGTTATCAAGCCTCTCCAGAAATACGGGTGCCTTGGAAGGATACAGCTCTTATCAATGCAATAAAACCTCTTTGCCTTTTTTTTATGCGTTACGACCATTTCAACATTGCCGTTATCGTCTTTTTTAGGGTAGCGATAACGCTCCTCGTGAAGTAGAACAATGTCGTAGGGCGCTATCTGTACTCTCTTGGGGAACTCATTTGTGCAACCGGTGCATGTTCTTGCATTCGAGTAGTCATGACTAAACACCACATAAAAGGGCTCGTCATTCTGGTAATACTCGATGTATCTCGTGGGCTTTGGCACCATAACGTCATAAGGGTCTTCTTCTGACACGACTGGCACCTGGCTTACGTTATTTTTCCCTCTTCTTTGTTTTACTCGTTGATTCGGCTTTCCCCCAAGCTGTTTAGAGAGGTTTGCGCTGATGATTTTTCCCATTTTGTTAGAAGCTTTCTTGTAAGTGGTGATGAAACTTCGCAGCTTACCAATCTTCTCAGCGACAACAAGGACGTGAGGGCACAAACCACCACTATCACGGAAAGATTTGCAGGTCTTGTCGCACGATATCTTCTCTTTCTTTTTTTTTACTGTGTAACTGGTATCAAACTCAGTGAGCAGAAGTTTGTATTTGCAAGTTCTATGATCTTATAATGCGACAGTATGATTTCCGCCCTCCTCCATATATCTTTAAGCTCATAAGAAGGAAATTGTAATGAGAGCTGGCACTCGACAAGGCCTATGGACAATTTTCTAGTGATGGCCTCATCCCTCCTTCTGCTGGGAAGGATACAACCAAAGACTTTTTTTTTTTTTTGCGTCGCGTTGCTGGGATGTCATTTGTGTCCACTGTAATGGATCCACCTCAAGGTGATTATAGTCTGCGGACAGACGATATTCTCCCATCTGATAGATGGCTTTAACCAGCTCGTCTAAATGAGGCTGCACTACGCGTTTCTCAATGAGATCGTGTATCGTCACCTGATCAGTTTTCTGTCTGGAAATCTCCTCTTTTATGACATTGTTGTATGCCTCGGTTCTCTGGTTTTGCCACTTGTTTGGCGGGTTTCCAAGGCCAGCAGCAACACGAACAGGTCGTAACATGCATTTCTTCATACTCTCAGATAAAGGTCGAAGACGACCTTCACTTGAGTGAAGCCATTTGGTAAATGCCTCTGGCCATTGGCCCTCAGTAACCTTCAGCTCCTTATCAAACTGCTCTTCAGAGGTACAATCTACAAGACCTATAATCCTTCTCCCATCATGCTCAGAGCCTAGAAGCTCGCGAGCTATTTCCGTTTGCTTTGGTGACGGTACCTTCAATTCTGTTAACTTCTTTAATATGTTTGTTTTAACATGGTCAAAACATCGGAGATGGATATTTGTCACTTGAAGAAGTTCCATGAATTGGAAATACCTTCTCGAAGCCTGTTTCCAAAGGAGTTTCTCCATCAGTTCCATAGGTTAGATTACAGATGCCCTTCCTCTTTAAATTTGCTGCTAGGTACTCGTAGTCCTCCATTTCCCTACTCGTGCTTGTCATGATGCCTGCCAAAGTAGTTGGGTGTTTATCGCGTGCATTTCTATGAACAAACATTGGATGTGGGAAAGTTAAAGTTGTCAAATAGAAAGGTCCACAGTTGTAAGTCATATCGATACCGCATTGAGATTTGGGACTGGTTCCTGAACAAAAACTTTTTAACCATTCAATATGCAAATCTTTCGCTGCGAATGTGTTTGGGGAGGTATCTTTTCCGTGGCGAAGACCAAATGAAACATTTTTTACAAAGTCAGAAGTTTGCAGTTGAGTAACTAATTTGGTAAAATCGGCTGCTTTTTGTGGTCCTGTACTCCGAGAACGAATGCGATTTTCTATTTTGCTGGCCTGGTTGTATACTTGTTTTCTGTTACGTGGGATGTCGGACACAGATTTGACATTAGAAACACCACCTGCATCTTGCTGTACTTTCGTGATTACGTGCTTTGCAGGATTCTCTTCGGCATACTGTTTTATCCTCGTAAGGACGCTTGGTTTTGTTCGAAAAAAAGCCTCTTTGTGATGTTTCACGTTTCCATGGGCCTTTCTAGAAAATAGCTTTTCTGCTTCCTCTGTTACTTTATACTGTATAACAGCATATCGTCCAAGCTCCCCTTTGCGGTGGTCATGTACCTTAGTTATAATACGGCAAAACTCATCTGAAGAAGCATGCCAGCTGTAATGACGCTTGACAGAAAAAATGTGGCTTCCTTCAGGATTTTTTCCTTTTTTACGTTTGCTGACTCTTTTGATACGAGATTCACTGGAAAAATCTACCCTGACAACTTCGGTGGGACAAGAGTGACGCGCGTATACTCCGTTACCATCCGTCGTCAAATCTCCTTCATTAACGATGTTTAGATCGACAATAAAAATGGCCGACTCGGTAACTCCGTGTGCCACCTTGCGGCAGACTTTCTTAGTGTCAAAATTACCTGCGATGCAGATATCTATAACTTCTTTTGTTGAAAGACCCTTCTGAGAAACTTTAAAAACAGGTTGCCCATTGATTTTTAGGCCTAAAAAGACAAACGAAACACAGATAATAAGCAAAAACTCTTGATACTATTTGCAGCCATTTTATCTATCATTATGGGGAAATATAGTATGCTTCGTACGAAAATATATTTCAAAATACCTTAAATGAACGCCTACCAATTATAAAGCATTTATACAAAACTCCTTCTTAAAGTGAAACACGCAAGGTGTTTCAAAACCGTCTGTTTCTTCTAAAATCTCAATTCTGATCGATTGAATCAACCACAAAGGCTCTGGGCAGTTGAGAGAAAACTAAACTTGTGGTTTCTAAAAACCTTTTTCCAACTTCTCAAAATTCATCATTTCAACTGTGGTCTCTTGCCCTTCCTTTTCAATTTTGTTTGTTTGTTTTGTTTCCTTTCTCTTTTCTAATCTTTCTTTACCTTCCTGAGCTTTCTCGGAGTCGTCTTCATTGCTGTAGGGATCGTAGTTATCATTGTCGGAGCCAACTTCGGGCTCATCTTCTTCAGACACGTTAAGGCTGCTCGAAGAAGATACGTGAGACCGCCGCCGTCTTTTTTTTTGGTGTAACGGCGATGCTATTTCGACTTCAGTTGACCTAATCGTTTCCATATAAAAGAAACAAATAAATTAATTCGGTGGGTCCTCTATCATTAGCTTGTAACAATTCTCTTCTTATGTGACGTGTAAATTCTATTCGGAAAAGCAAAAACTGAGTGTTCCTGTTTTCTTAAGATACTAATGGAGAATACAAAGGTTAATAACCGAAAAACAGAAGTCCCGCTTAGTTTTTTTTGGCACTTACGTGGACCTTTTCGAGGGTCGTTTGGAACATGAAGGGATTCCGCTATCGTCTTCCATTTCCTCTTCCAGCTCGCGGGCTGCACTTAGGTTAACTTTGGTCTTGGAGAATGCATTCGTTTTGGCTCTGCGTGTTTGAGACTCTATAAACTGCTGAAGTTTTTTGTAAATAGCGCCATCTGTGGAACCCGTAATATCCAGTTCATTCACGGGCTCATCTCTCCTCATGGACGCCAAACTGATGCTCACAGAACTTTTCACAGGTTCGTTTTCTACCAGGCCTTTGCCAATATGTATATAGCTTTCTGAGGTATGGACTACGTCGGAGCCATCACTACTGCTGAGCACAATCATTGGAACAGATAGCTCTGCCCTCCCTACACTTTCTTCGGCACCGCTGTTGCCAATCGGTGAGCAATCATCTGTGAATTTCACAGTATCAAGTAAGGCAACATTGCATTTATGCAGTTTAATTCTCATGTATTTCAAATTCTGACAAACCCCACAATAGACAGTCAGTAACTTCCTTAAAAAAGTACGTAATTTTACCGTAGTAGGGTAACTGGCGTTCGTTGAAATGTAAAACCAAATAAGCTTTCTGTTCAGACATGAATGAGTACAGTTGCATCAGGGAAATGTATTTAACTTAATGGTTTGTACAGGAAAGTGCTAATCTTAAACGACGAAAATCGACCACGGTTTTGTAAGTGACGCTTTAAGGTAAATACAAACCGTGCTTTCAGTCAAACTGTATTCACTACAATTCTCGCTCAGTGTATGAATACCTGAAACTCGGCTTTAAGTTGGTGGTAATTAAGCAAGCTATTATTACATCTGTGCCTAAACGATAAGATTGCATACCATTTCTCTCTATTAATCCCAGCTCTTTACTAGTCGAAGATGGCGAAACACTGAAATGAAAGAAAAATTATTTTAAAAACGAAACCCCGCAATATCATCTGTTGGACAACCTGTTCAGAGTTAATTTCAAATATATAGATGGTAAATTTGCTTTCTCAGGTCCAGGGGATACCGTGTTCGAAAGTAAAGTTACTTGGACATCAAGCGATATTCATCTATTTCCTCTGCTACACTTTCGTCGGTGTAATAACAGTAAAGGATAATATTGTAATAATCATAAGAAATAGGACTGGTACCTTTCATTTTCGCTCATTATAGAGAGCGACTGCAACATATAATTTTTTACACCACTAGAAACCAGGCGCTGCCATATCCAGCGACAGACTCCTTCGCATGCCGTTTCCTCTTCTTTTACCTCTGAAAATACTTTGAGAAGGCCGGTGCCTTTACCACCAACTTCGGCGGGAACAGGATGGGTATCTACAATAAAGAAGCAGTCGCTTGCAAGGCCAATTATGAAGACTAATGGCTCACAGGTGTAGATGGCAACGCAAAAATTTTTTTCGATAACATGGAAGATAAGGCATGGACAAGGTTAGTCTGCCCTTTTTTGGGAGAATACGAAGTCGCTCTCCAAGATTTCTTCGGAAAAATCGTACTTGCCAACTTCAGCACCAACACTCCGTATCAGTTGGTACGCCGACAGAACATCGTAGAGTTCCTCACAATTCCTGTATGGATTTACCACTCGGGGGAACTCTGTGATGACATTTTCTGCCACTTCGCAAATATTTTGCCACAGCTTCTTACTACCCCCAATTGCTTCTTCTCGGAACTTACGTATTTCATGAGCAATTTTTACACATAGAAAGGCACAGGCATTAGTTCCATCATTATCCGGAAATTCTTCAGGTACCTTGTCACCTCTGGATACAATCTGTGCAACCCTTCTGTCGTACTGTTCTAGGCATGAGGCTTGACTGACCTATGAGGAATAAAGTTTGACTTTCACACAAAGATGAATAATCTTTACTGTAATTATTTTTAACATTATAAGTTTATTTTAGCTTGTTTTATCTGATGTTCGAGGGCTTTTTTAGGAGACAAGGACGACAAGACTGTCACCACGCATTGGAAATATTCCACTTTCCCAACAAATACTTCTCCAAATTCCTTTTTGCCAGTAAGATAATGTGGTTTTTAATTTTTTTGTGTCTACAATTGTCGTTTAAAAATGGTTTTAAAATATCTTTGTGAAACGTATTTCCATGCCAAATCATCATGTGAGAGAAAAGAACAAGGTTGTTTGCAGAAAGTTAAAATGGTATATTTTGATAAACTGCAGTTTTGTAAAATTACTCTCTACACGGAACACTTCGCACTCTTCAGGAAATTTGCAAAGCTCGATTACTGGCTGGGTTACATTAATGACCCTTTCACGAACATTTTCCTCGTTCTTGACAAGATTAAAAAATATTACCCTTTAAAAAATACAAATGACTAACCTTCAAGGGGATATTAAGAGTAGACATGGTAGATCCCTGGCTGATCATGGAAACCACTTCTTCAACCTTTGGCCGTTTATCAGGGTCAAATTGAGCACACTTAAGCCAAATCTTGTTGACCGAATACCAGTCAGTAGCATGCTTGTGTTGATATTTGCATGGCTCCGTTGGCAATTTTCTCGTTATGAAGAAATGCTCCAGTGCTTGCAGAGGTGTTTTTCCCTCTCTTAGGGCTGCTTGTATTTCATCAAAGTAGGGATACTTGACACAAGGGTTCAGTAATACAAACAGGGTCATGCCTAAAGACCAAATGTCGGCTCTCTTAAGATCTTCTCCTGATGCAAGCGGTAAACGAATCGCTTCAATCAGCATTTCTGGGGCCATATATACCGGTGTTCCTCGATTAACTCGAGCAGTTTGGGACTGCAGGATGGAATTAGTTTGTATCTTAGTGGAGCGGCTTTCACCGAAATCAGTTAGCTTACATAGCAGAGGGCGCTGTTCCCAGCCTTCTCTCTGATCACTTGCAGTCAGTTAACATTAGTATTGATTGGTGGCCAAGATGTTAGCCGGCTTTAAATCACGATGGGCGACATTTTTGACGCGTAGATGTTTAAGACCCAATGCTACGTCCTTGAAAAATGGTGGAGATGACTTGAGGGGTGACGAAACCGTCGCAATCGGAGCCCTCAAGAACACCAAGAAATTCTTCAAGGAAGCTAACTTTTGACTCGAAACCGAATGGTTGGAAATCGAAATACACATATCCGAGAATGAGGGCAAACGGATTATTGCAGATTCCCTTGAACTTCACAATGTTTGGATGTTTTAACTATTGAATGATTCTTCTTTCCTTTACAAACGTTTTCTTATCCCGTATGGCCTCGTTGAGCAATTTCTTAGCGACGACTTTCTCCGCAGCGGCCGATTTCCCGCCCGCACCAGGAAGAGTCTGCCAGTCAGCAGTGAACACAGCACCATAAGCACCCTTATGAATGATTTCCTTATTTGTCAAACACTTGAAATTACAAACTGGCAGACCTGAACAGAGGATGGTCGGGCCTAAGAAAAGGAAATTGAAAAGCCATAATCCTGCCTGATTCAACAGCACACAAAGCGAGCAAAAAGCAAACTTCTTGCAACACGTGGAACCTGCGCAAATGCGAAACAAGATCTCTTGTTCGTAAGAAAGGGGTGTGCGACGGGTGCGTAATCAGAAGCGCGTAACTTCTTCATGTATATTATTTTTATCAAAAAGTTTTAAGCAAAGTAACTGTAGCACTTGCGATTATAAAACTGCTGGACGACTATTTCGGCATGGATATGCTTCTGTTCTCTATACGAGACGGAGAGTCTAAACATGTTTAGACGCCACTGGAAAACTGTCATGTTGGTGCAACATGCCAAGATGTTCGGTGATATACTAATTTGTAATGTTTAAATGTATTTTTGTGACATGAAAGAGGTCACGTTGTCACCGCAGGGGTGAAATAGTCCATTTCGCAAAATAGTAACTCTCCTAAAATTACTATTTTGCGAAATATATTTTAATACGGTTTAAGAAATGAGAGAAGGCCAAAATGTTCGGTGATATACTAATTTGTAATGTTTAGATGTATTTTCGTGACGTGAAAGAGGTCACGTTGTCACCGCAGGGTGAAAATTGTCCATTTCGCAAAATAGTAACTCTCCTAAAATTACTATTTTGCGAAATACATTTTAATACGGTTTAAGAAATAACAGGAGGCCAAAATCTTCGGTGATATACTTATTTGTAATGTTTAAATGTATTTTTGTGACATGAAAGAGGTCACGTTGTCACCGCAGGGGTGAAAATAGTCCATTTCGCAAAATAGTAACTCTCCTAAAATTACTATTTTGCGAAATACATTTTAATACGGTTTAAGAAATAACAGGAGGCCAAAATGTTCGGTGATATACTAATTTGTAATGTTTAAATGAATTTTTATGACATGAAAGAGGTCACGTTGTTACCGCAGGGTGAAAATTGTCCATTTCGCAAAATAGTAACTCTCCTAAAATTACTATTTTGCGAAATACATTTTTATACGGTTTAAGAAATAAGAGGAGGCCAAAATGTTCGGTGATATACTAATTTGTAATGTTTAAATGTATTTTGGTGACATGAAAGAGGTCACGTTGTCACCGCAGGGGTGAAAATGGTCCATTTCGCAAAATAGTAACTCTCCTAAAATTACTATTTTGCGAAATATATTTTAATACGGTTTAAGAAATAAGAGGAGGCCAAAATGTTCGGTTATATACTAATTTGTAATGTTTAAATGTATTTTCGCGACATGAAAGAGGTCACGTTGTCACCGCAGAGTGAAAATAGTCCATTTCGCAAAATAGTTACTCTCCTAAAATTACTATTTTGCGAAATGAATAAAAATCCTTCTTATTAATGAACGATTACTCCAAAATCCTTGTGAAAGTTATCTTTACCTTATTTGAAAATATATCTGCATTATTCCTTTTGTTTTATTTCATCTGACCCGATTTCGTTTCGTTTCGTTTCGTTTCGTTTCGTTTCGTTTCGTTTCGTTTCGCAAAATAGTATAAGCCCAAATTATCAAGAAATTACTTTTTATACACAAATCAACTTTTTATTCAAACCTTCATTACAGAGCGCAGAACTGGAAAAACTCAGGAAAAAAATTGTCTCATTTCACAACTATGATTTCAGACCAAAATTGCGTGACATGATGTTCAATTACCACTATATTATATCCATTTTGAAATTAGCGTTTTCTAGCTTATAACAGTATCGTACTAGTGTTTCCTAGTATTGAACAGTGTTGTACTAGCGTTTTCTAGCATTGAACAGTATCGTACTAGCATTTCCTAGCATATAACAGTATGCTAACTAGCATTTTTTTCAGCATATAACAGTATCGTACATGTAATGGTTAATTACAATATCAACTAAGTTGGTAAGTCAAAAGTTAATCCAGTAATGTATATACTTAAGCGAAAATTAACAACTTAGTTCTTAATTGATCATGTGGAAAAAAAAAAATTAACATCTACTACCTGGTCAAGAAATGATACTTCTGCGAAGGGTGGTACTACTAATGACTTGGGGTGGTGAGGATTTTGGGTCTCTTTGCAAAAACTTTGTCAGTTGCTCATAAAGCCCATGAAGAACCGCAGCCAGCCTTAAAACGTGTCTATCGTCCTAGAAACATTTTCAGGAGATATAGAATTCACAAGTGCTATTGCAATTTTAACATTTATAGTTTTACTACATAAAATAATCAGTAGGCGATTTCGAAGAGGAACCATATTCTTGAGTTGAGCAAAAGAACTGCTGTACTTGTAATATGGGAAAGTGCAAATATCGATTTTATCTGTTTCGCAAACAAAGGAGCTAATCACCAACACCGGAAATAGCGACCAGGTATTCCTCACAACTCCCTTACGTTTGTTTTCCAATTTGCCCGGGCTGCTGCCAATCACTTCTTGTGTAAAAACCTACTTAACCTGTGAAGTGGAAGTATGGTGACTATTGTTGCTTGCCAATATTTTCTGTAGGCAAAACGTAGAAGTCAGTAAATGTGACTGATTCTGCTCGGAAAATTTTATTGTCTGGAGCTTGGATATGTTGGGAGAGTTTCACTGACAGCTGGACTAATTACATCCCATGTTGTGAAACCATTATAAAGACATCACGCTTTCCTTCGCTTTTTTTGTCACATATAAAAAGGGAAAGGTGAGGCATCGGTATCACTTAGCACTGGCACAACTCGACCTACCAGTCACATGCATGAAAAAACAGGAATGGAATTGGTGATAGATGATTCATGTTAGCCCAAGAGTATCACTTAGCACTGGCACAGGTCGACCAAACAGGCACATGATGACTTATCAGTGGAAGATGGCAATATTTTCAATAACAATTATAATCCAGTGTTTAAGTGCCAGTTTCGCATTTGCATGACAAAAAACTAAATGTCTTTTGGGGGGGGAAAAGTACCTTCAAGAAGTCAAAGTAATTTTTTGGAGTTAACATCATGAAAACATACTTAAATGTAGTGTATGGTAAATATGAAAAACAAATACCTGTTGACGATATGTGCATTTCTCTTTTAAGCACCCACAATCGTCAGAAAAATCCAGTGAGGTCTCCCCACAAGGACAGGCAGAAATCTGTTCAAAGTTTTGTAGAACTGTTAAAAAATCTGTGGACACGCAGTGATGTGCATGCCAGCTATTAAGTAGCAATTAAAGATTGAGAGGGGAAAACGTTTAGGAGCATTAGCCTCAGTCAGCCTTACTTTTTAAGTAATACGTCTAAGAGCTTTTCACTCTTCTCTGTCAGCAGTGATACATGCTTTTCTGCTTGCTCCATCTCCCTAAAATTCCCAGCAAAATGGCATCCATGGACTTTACATTGTCGCTGCCTCTCCTCACATACAAGCAGATGGGTTTGCAACTCCATCCTAAGAGTAAACGAAAAGTAAAACCTACATGAAGGTATCTATTAATGAGGAAAAGAAGTCGCAACTGTTCAGCGCCAGTAGGGGAGTTAACACAATGAACCAAGGCACGTCCAGATAGTGAAAGGCTTTAATCGCAACAGGGGAACTAGACTCCGAACGAGTAACAAACAATATGGCAGACGCGACGAGGAGGAAAACCGTCAAAAGGGCATGCTCAACCCAGATACCGCTGACCGGTACTGGCGTGACTTCTTTCTTCTTTTTTTTTTTTTTTTTTTTTTTTTTTTGGAGAAACAAGAACTAAAAACAAGTTAACATACACTTAAGACTAACTAACAAATTGACACGCGCGGGCGAGTCAAAGTTCAGAGTTTAAAGATCGGTGTTCAAAGTTCAGTGTCATAATCTGCAAAACGAGAAGGAGGACGGCGGGTGCGTGATGATCTCCGTAGGGCAGGCGGAGAAGGCACCGCTGAGGCGGCTGCATACCCACTGGGGAAGGATCAGGGCAGGGCGACTGTGTAGCGAAATCATCCATGGTATGGTCAACGGGAGAGGCAGGGGCTGGACTGTAAGACTGAGGGTTGACAACTGGTGGGTGTGTGGAAGCTGCGATGGCCTCAGGGATGGCAGGCAAAGAGGGGGGAGGGTGAGTCATTGTAGTAGGACCATCTTCGTCGTCGGAATCAGAGTAGTGTTTGCGTAGGGTCGGAGAGGCACGGAAGGGATCACCCAAGTCAGATGGGACCTTGAAGCACTCAGATAGCTTGACATGGTACGATGAACTTCGCAACTGGGATCCAATGAACTTTTGATGTTGCAGAATGGAGGATCAATGGCTACAACGAGATAGCGGTCACGAGCACGAGACTTGTTGAGGTCAGAATGGAGGTACACAAGATCACCAATATCGATCAGGGGGGTAGGACGCCTTGACTGACCAGGAGCTTTGGAACGTTCACTGAGGGGATGGTTGGAGAGACGCTGTTCATGCTGGAGGGAAATTATGTGGTCATCTGCGAGGGGTAACTGCTTGTTTGAGAACTGATCCCGCTGGGTCCACATTTCTCGAGAGGAAAGCCCTCTTGAACGGATACGTGAGTTTAAGGCTGAAGTGGCTACGGCGAGGGTGAGGGGAGAGACAGAACTACCGAGAGGCTCCTGACGTAACAGCTCATTCTCCAATTCCTGGACCGCTCTCTCTGCAACGGGGTTCTTGTTGGGATTTTTGGCATGGCCAAGCTCAATTGTGATTCTGTGTTTCTGTAAGAGTGAATCATTGACAAAGGCCTTGAATCCGGGAGCGGGGTCGGTGCGGATCACAGCAGGTGGACCATCCATTGGGCGCATTTCCACGCAAAGCTTTATAATGGCATCACGCAAAGTTTGGTGGCGTTCGTTCTCAAGAAAGAGACTGGACGTGTAAGAGGTCACTGTTTCACGGAGTACAAAGATAAGTTGGCGAGAACGTTTTATGACATCTGCCGCAAAGGACTGCCCAACAGTTTCAGGTGGAGGCGAAGTGGACTGGTCAATTCGTGCTGTTGGTGATCTCTGAATTGCTGCACAGGAGTGGCACCCATCGGAAACACGGGAGACTGCCTTGTCCAGGTCGAGGGTGAACAGATAACGCTTGGCAACCATTTTTAACTGGTGACAAGAAGGGTGGCTGAGCTGAATGTGAAGGGCTGTCAAGAGGCCATCCAAGGCCTGGCGAGGGACAATGATACACTCTCTGGTCGGTGACAAGGGATCATGACGTTGGACGACGAGCAGGCCATCACTTGCGATTGAGGCGACCTGCAAATAGCGTTTGACGTCCTTTATGTTTGTGAGCTTCTTGGAAGGTCTTGTGCCTTGGACAAGGTGTGCGTGCGTGCGGCGTAGGTCTGGGCATTCAGACTGTATGGCCAACCAGGCCGGACGGCTGGTGAAAGGGAGGCGGGCATTGCCTTGGAGGATGTCCTGGACAGTCGCGGCTCGGACAACAGAATCTCTGGTTGAGGCGATAAACAGGCAAATCTGACAGGTTTCATTCTCACAAGGAGCAGCATTTCGACTCGCGAAGTCTGACTGGAGGATAGAGGCGCCGGAGACGTGTCGCACTGAGGCCTGGTAGTGGCTGACAACTGACAGGAAAGTAGATACGCGAGGACTTGCGGAGAACTCGCCGCGGCATAGCTTCTCGTAAGCCTGGACGCATGGCTTACTGTCCGTTAGGATACAGGCTTTATTGGATGACTGGATGAGGTATGGACTGAAGTGCTTTGTAGCCGCAGCGATGGAGAGGGCTTCTACTTCGCACGGAAGCCACGTTGTCTGAGTGCCCCGCAGCTTAGCGCTGAAAAACCGGCGATGTGTAGCTTGTTGTTGCGCGTCACATAGAGGGTGGCGCCTATTCCTGGGTCCTTGACTGCGCCATCGGTGACGACCCATAGTTGGTCCTCAGGTCTAGGTAAGGTGATAGAGAGGGCTGAGGATAGGGCCTTCTGAGCGTTATGGAATGCAGCCCTGAGACTATCAGACCAGGTGATGGATTCTTGTGAAGTACGTCCAGCCGTGACGGCATCCAGCGGGTTAGATAACTAGAGCACCGTGGGATAACACGAGACAGGACTTTGTACGCACCAATGAACGATCTCAAACGACCAACAGTGTTTGGCACAGGGTACGTGGCGAGGGTGTTGAGGCGGTGGGCACTGGCAGACAGGGTACCGGCGGACCAAATCCAACCAAGGATAGTGGTTGACTTGGGGTTGATTATGGTCTTGTGGGCTGACAAACGCAGGTTGCATTTGTGAAGAGCTTGCAGGACCCTCTTCCAGTTGTGTAGTAACTCTAGAGGGGTGTTGCCCCCGCAGTATAAATCATCGGCGATCTTGGCCACGACTCCATCTTGAAGTAAGGGGCCTAGAACACGGCACATAACCTCCTCTAGAGCAGTCTCTGAGCCAGGCATTCCCATAGCGGAGCGGGCATACACCCGGATGCCTTTAAAGGGGGTGGCGACACCGCAGTACTTCATGGACTCTTTGGCTAAAGGGATCTGATAGAAAGCACTTGCAAGGTCAGTGACAATTATGTGTGACCATTGGGCGATGAGCCGTAATGTGGAGTCAACATCGGGTAGCAAGGATGGTTGTGGTTTGCTGTATCTGCCCACATCAGAAAAGGCGGTGACGAGACGGGAACCACCATTAGGCTTCTTTACAAGGAAAGATGGATTGAGGTATTCAATGGTGATACCCACATCTTCGGGCGGCGGAAGACGCCAAGAATCTCTAGGTCGTCAAACTTTTCCTGGAGCTCGATGAGCTTATCCCGTGCGTATTGGGGGAGGCGACCCTTCCGCTGAGGAGGTTCGACAGGACCCATGTTGACTTTGGCCTTGTATGCGCCAGCGGCTCCATTGTATCCGGGAATTGCGGGTCAAATACAGTGTCGTACTCTGTAAGTAGTGATTGGAAGTCTGCACGAACGGTTTGGGGAAGGGTGTTGTCTGGATCAACCTGAACGGACGCAGAGTAACGTGTACTGGAGGGCGGCAACGGGCGCTGAGCAGTAGGTGGGGGTGATGATGGGACTTCGGGGGCTCAAAAACAGGGATGACTTGGCAGAAGTGTTCGTGGCGCTTGAGAGTGCGGGGTACGCTTGATAGGTTAGGAATCCGTATGGCTCGGGCAACGCTGGAAACGACACCAGGTTGTGGCCACAACTGGGATGGCTTCAGATTGTGTGCACTGGGTGCGTCGATGCGAGGCTCTAGTGCGTACTCCGAGTCAGAAGGTGCATCGTCTGGTAGACGTACTTCCATGAACTCTCCAGGCCACACTGTCTGGGATGGAGCGGGGGCACGTAGGACAAATGCTCTACGTGCGGTTGCATGAGGGTTAGGTGGGGATTTGGACCCATACGTGTAGACTGAGCCATTGCCTAGTAGTACCTCTCTCTAGCGGGTCGGACAGCGATGTCATTCGTCTCCATAAAGGGGGTACCGGCAAGTACCTCAACATCAAGATTCTCAACTACGAGACCTTCAAACGCGAAGTTTGTGTGGTCCCGGGTGAAGGTGGTACGAATTTCTCCTATCACCTGGAGCTGAGACGAGCCATCAGCCTGTTGGACGGACTGGGCACTTGAGATTATCGGACAGCCGAGGTGTTTCGCGGTTGAACGGCGTATCATATTTCCAGTTGCACCGCTGTCGAGGGTGACGCGCACGACTCGATGATCATGAAAGACGTCCATGTAAGGGGACTGGCGGGTCTGCACACGGTAGGCCACCATGTCCGGGCCTGGCAATGTTGTGTCAGGGTCTGGTGAATCAGAATCAGGACTGGTCTCAATTTCTTGGTCATTGTCAAGGATGCCGGCGATCTGTCGTGCTTTCACCATGAAACGCCTGTCACTGTCGGGGAGGAAGGTACACTGACTGAGGAAGTGGTTTGTCATAGAACGGCCAGCCTGTTTACATAGAGGACAGACCTTGTCTTGGCGGGGTTGTCTGGGACGGGCTCTAGGAACACCCCTGTTACTCTGACGAGGGCGACGAAAATCGTCTGCAACCGCAGCACGTAGGATTCTGGCATCATCCGACGTGGGATTTCCTCGAGTAAGGAATTGAGGGCCTGCGAGATCTCAGGTTTGATCGAGGCAAGAGTACGGGATCTCAACTCTGTACCATAACGCTGCTTAACCAGTCGTGGGAGACTGGGGTGAATGAGGCGTAACCAAGTGAGGACCAAAAAGTTTTCGAGTGTAGGGGTTAATTCCTCATCCTCCTGCACTGCTTGGCCATTGTGGGTTAAACCGTTGGCACGTAGCAATGAATCTTCTACGAATGCTGTGAGGCGCTGGTACAGATCTTCGGGGCGCTCATCAGCAGCTAGGTGTATTTCGGAAAAGTCAATGAACTGAGCCCCGGTGACTTGGAAACCAAAGTGCTGTCTGATGGTTTGCCAGATGAACTCGAGGGATGTAGAGTTTTTCACCAGGGTATTTCGAGAGATAATTGGACAATAGTTGGCGATCTGTCCTAACATCAGCTCGAGGAAGTTAACCTTTTGGCGGGCTGTCAGGCGACGAGCTAATGGCACTGATTCGCCATCGTTGTGGAGACCTTGAAGCGGCTGACCCCTGGTCTTTTTAACCATGTGAATCCATCTGCGAGGAAGGGGCGAAGTTGCTGTCCAAAGAAAGAGTGTAAATGAGGTTTTGCTTCCAGTTTTCAAAGGAATTGATAGATTCCACTTTGGAGAGGCACCACTGCTTCGGTGCACGGTGTGTTGCAGCCATATTTCACGTTTAGGGCTCTGGAACGTGTTGACACGGCGAAGGATACACTGTTTTGGCTCACGTGGACGAGGCGAAAAAATAGCCTTCTTCGGCGAAAATATGGCCTGGGTAGAACCGAACACTGCCACCACGCCAGTAGGGGAGTTAACACAATGAACCAAGGCACGTCCAGATAGTGAAAGGCTTTAATCGCAACAGGGGAACTAGACTCCGAACGAGTAACAAACAATATGGCAGACGCGACGAGGAGGAAAACCGTCAAAAGGGCATGCTCAACCCAGATACCGCTGACCGGTACTGGCGCAGCTTAACTCATTTTTTTTATTTGTTTATTTCATTTGCTTTTTATTCTTGAAAGTGATAAAGATTATAATCAGACAAGCCAAATCTAGGATATTTTCCCAATAACACTGCGTTTGAGTCTCAAAGTAAACTTTTGGGGCTAATTTTGGATCAGTTTTAATCTTAGACAGAGGAGCGAATTGAAGGGAAGCTTTCCAAAGTTCAAGAGATTTATATATTTAAAGATGATATTCTTAAAAAAATAAAAATTATCATACATGTGGGAAAGATAAAGAAAACCTTGAACTCAGGAACAATTTTCAAAGTTGTACATGCTAGTATGGTCTAACTTAAAGCTTAAAAATTCTAATACAAGAAACTGCATACCCACACCAGATGGTTTTGTTACACACATAAAGAGAATTTCATTTTTAAGTTTGAAATGATAATGTACAACGCTTTGTGACCACACCTGCTCAGATGCTTCTTGCATTTTAGAGGGCAATGGATTTCTCCCCTTGGGCAAGTCTTTTCAAGATGAAGTTCCTTGTTGGCCACGGTGGTATTCTAGTGGCATTGTTCACATGCGATGACTGCATAGAGACATTCCTCCTTTTGAGTTGGCTCATCCTTTCTTTTAATACTGTGTAGGCAGCCCCTATCGAACAGGATATGAGGGCATCAGGACAGGTGTGTTGTGCTACCACTTCGATGCTCCCCCTCTTGTAGCATGCTGTGCATTTTACCTTGATCTTCTCCACTAGCTTTTTCAGGGTGAAGTTTGTCTACAGCTGTGTGGAACTCCATATGGGCTTTTTACAAAGGGGGCAATGGCTGGTAGTTGGGTTTTGTTGCACCTTGCTAATACACGTTTTGCAGAACGTGTGATTGCAGTCAGGCAAAATAATTGGCTCCAGTATCAATGTATTACCAAAAGACAAAGAGAACATGAATTTCAACTGCGTTTATGTGAGCGCCTTTGAATCACAAGTTTCTTTATACCCCTTTTAAGAAATCCCCCTCCTTGCTGTTTTCTTTTTCTTCCTTTGTATCTTTTCAATACACCGGTGAAAGGAGTACTACCATGTACAGTACTGATGCGAGTCATTACTCTCGAAAAATATCGTCCAACTTTTTAGCAAATTTTCCTTGTAGTTAGTTCTTGAGAACTTGGTTGACCCCTCTCTTGACACCACGTGGGAATTCTAAAAGAGGTTTGTTCTTGACAGCTCGTGGAAAGCCTCCTTTCACACCCTTAAAAAAGTCCTTAGCCATATTTTTGACTCCAGTGCCTATTTGAGAATCACCCCAAGTTCCAATAAAAGGCAGTGGGGCGTAAGGTGAGGGGGTCTGCCAGCACATGAGTGCATCACCTCCTTGTTCATTTGGCACATACACTTTAAAGCATCTCAAACTTCCTGCTCTCATGATGTGATCACTACAAACACAGAGTTCACTTTTAATGTTTTTTTCATTCGGGTACAACTTCACGTAAATGAAACACTTCTTCAGTCCATACTGGTAGATACCCTTTCTTAAATGGTCTAAATTTTTTATTCAATCAGACTTTATCACCTACTTTAAATGCAGGTTCCTTTTTCTTCTCAGTCTGATAATTCCCATACAAACTGTTCCACACTTCTTTGTTATTGGATGTGGTTTTAGTACTCCTGTGATAGGTGCGATTGTATTGATTGACAAGTTTGGGCAATATGTCTACATATTTGAGTGTATTGGCAGCTGTGAAATAAAGATACAATTTCGATTTAAGGGTTCTATTAAATCGTTGGACGATACTGGCTTTGGCATCTCCATGGGTAGAAAAGTGATGAATTTATTTCTTTTTTGACAGCTCTTGAAATGTCTGGTTGTAAAGTTCTTTGTCTGCATCTGTCTTTAATTTTTGGGGTTTCCTCCCTTGTGCTTCTTTGAGTATCTTGGCAAAAGCATCTGTCACATTTTTTCCTGTTTTCTTTTCAATGGGTTGAGCCCACGCATATTTGGAAAAGGCATCAATGACCACTAAAGTGTAACGACACCCTTTGTTCTGCTCGGCTAAAGTCTGTACTTTGATAAGATCCACCACCCATTGTTCATCAGTGTTGAACACCACCAAGGTGAAAATTCTCTTTGTTGACATCTGGGTTTGTGAAGTGTGTACACCAAATTTTTCTCTAATTCTGTTTTAGCTTGACCATTAGAGATCTTTTGAGCTTTGGCATACGGTGCCACACCATCCAAACTACCGACGACACCGGATTTGTCATACAAGTCGTGTGATCCTCTCTCCTTTGTTTTCATTCATTCATCCTTGATATCTTTTTTAATGTTCTTAACCATGATAAATTACACCAAAGTTTGAAACAATGGTAGGTGACCCAATACTTATGAAGGTACTGCGTATACAAATGATTCCACGTCTTATGTGTATACTTACCATCATAGTATCTCATAAACTTCATCAAATAAAAGATATGGTTGTTTAGTGGGTGTAGGTGTGGTTTCATGACATGCCTATAGACCTTATCTTCCGTGTTTTTGGTAACCCATTTGTAGGGGATTTTAGGTGGCTTATCCTCTTTGTAGACGATACATGTGATGTGATCGCAAAGCCATGACACCACTTGATAATGTAAGTAGCATAGATGTTGACTCCACGAGGTAGGCATGATGAACCAGCGATTTTTTCATCGTTGACCCTTCTTATAATGCTTGACATTATCCATAATGCCTTTCAAAGCCTTGTTTCCCAGAAGTTTACCAAGGAAGAGGTTTCTCCATGTTGGTCATGGCTGGACACCTCCAACCACAATTGGTGCTGGTCCTCATGAGAGGCTTCAAAACCTTGTTGGCTGTATTCTCTCATCTAGAGGAAACGCCTCAGCATGGGGGCATGGTCTATCGTCAAATGACTGTAGTCTCCAGTGCCAAGACTGCTTCCAAAAGGCTCTTTAAGCAGAAAACCCCACTCTTTGCACTAGATTTTAATACATAAAAGGAAAATTTTGCTTTGATAGAGTACATGTACATTTAAGTAGGTAAATATATAACTGGGTTCAGTGCAATTTATGCTTAACTAAAGCATGAGTCAGGACACATGAATTAAGATTTTCAACTGGTACTTGAAGTCTACATCATCCTAATCATTATTTTTTCCTACTTTAAGCTCATAAAATACCTTGATGTCAAAGAAATCAATATCTTCTTGCTCTGTGTCTTTGAAAACTTTATTTCTTGTAACAAAGGCAATCTCTTTCCACTCTTTACAAACCTAAACAAAAAGAAGAAAATTCACTGTGAGTGACTGATTGAATAACAATTTCTTCATTTCTGGCAGCTATATGTTTCTTCAGAAGTTTTATCCATTATACATTTAACAAAGTACAACAACTTCTGTCAAGAATTTAAACAATGATTGAAATTTAAATGCCACCAGAAAAGCACAATAAAAAGTCAATGACCACCTGTTTACAAAAGAATTTGAACACTGAGTAACTGATCATAAACATATATACTAGTTAATTTAGTATCACTATTTAATTAGAGATCACAAAAACCTGAATTAATGGCCTGAGCAAATTCAAGGAAGCACTACCATCAGTCAACTTTTATATTGATATTAGACAGAGGCAGTTTCTGCGTATTACACTTATACTGTGCCCCAATGTCTATGAATATCAATATTGCCTTAGCTTCCAGCTGAAAGCATCAATGAAACCCTTGTAACTTTGAAATGAAATCAAAGCACTATACCCTCTTTCACATCTCCAGCTGCTTGGTTGCAACATCCACAGCAAGGTGTTCATTTTGTTTCTCTAATTTCTTGCTGCGACAGTTGCAGAATTGTAACTTGGTGAACTCCTCTAGTTCTTGTCCCCAAGCTTTCTACTTCAGCTCCATATCTTGTTTAACATCTTAAACAAGGGTAACTTGTTTAGTGAAAATAACACATACATGTACACTGTATGAATTGTCCCTTTAGAATCAAATTATATCTTTTTAATGTCTTAATATCACTACTGTTATGTTGGCAAAAGACTCCTTGAATAAACAACAATACCTGGCATTCCAACACATAAACTTGTCAACACTAGTAATATTAATTTTTGTTTTGGGTAACAGGATGAAGTTTGCCTCACACTAGTGTAATTCTAATGAATTAGGACATTATAGAGAACCTACCTGTCCCATCAAGCACTAACTGTTCAGTGTGGGTACCAAAATCCCGAATAAACACACGTCTGTTAATAGCGTCTGTAAAATACTACATACACATACATCTCAAGTTATGACATACAAAGTTGAAAAATGGGTTTGTTATGACATGCTCATTATGCAACACATTAATTAGTCAGATAATTTCATGAGTGCCAGAACCTATATAACTTAGTAATTAACAAATGTAACACTAGATCAGTAAATTTAGTAACTTAATTTTAAAAAGTTACTCACATAGTAGCACACCAAGACTCATGAGCACACTCCAATGAAACATCTGGGTGCCATGGTAAGTGGTTGTATGCAATACATGTAGAAGCACACTCCGACGAAACATCTGGGTGCCATCCTAAGCAGTTGTGAACATGTTAAGTTCAAAAAGGCCATCAAGTGATCAACATTGACAAACTATACATGTATGTAATTTAATTATATGAAATAGAACATTTACTTACATTAATCTTGGATTGACAAAATGTGACTCGGTTCAGAATCAAATTTTTAGCAGTGGTTAGATCACTGAAGGCATCCTTCAGTTTTTTTACTAGTAGGGCATGGTGTACAATATCCTCAATATTTTGATGAATCTGCATTTCAGTGGGTCCTGTTGGGAAAAATGAACCCCCTTAATTATGTGGCTCTGTCTAGTACCAGATTACCAAGATTATTAGGAAAAATACTTATTAATCAATATGGTTAACTTTAAGCTCCCCTGGTTTCTGTAGTAACTTGAAAAATGGTTACCATAGTACTTGCTCCTTGATCCTGCACATACATGTAGGCTATTAACTTTGGCTGAGACATCTATTTATCAATACCTTTTTAACAATTGACTAAAATGAACTTGCCTGACATTGAACTGACATGTAAGTTGTGCTTGGACACAGCTGACTCCTCCTGACTGATTTTTTTTTTTCTTCAAGGTGATCCAGTCCCCATGGACCAATTCAGGCCTGTAACCCTTGAGGGCGTCATTTGCCTCTCAAAGAGAGTCCACCTTATAGGCCATGAGACCTATCGATGCAAGAAATTGCTCTGTGTTTCTCATCTCCATGGGAAGAGCACAGAGCTGAATACTGCTCAGGTCTTCATCAAGCAGACACAACAAGTCATCCAAATCCCACTTGACGTATACAAACACATGGTTTAATATCAGTTGCTTACCCTACGAAATAACTATATGCTCGTATTGAAAACTGTGTTTTGGCATCAACTACGAAGGGAAGGCTAAAACCGAGGAAGGTGTCTTAAATGTTAACACACTAATTTTCCTTCCAACATATTCAAATAAGACCATGAAGTGCATATTTTGGAGTAACAGATTACAAATATAGGTGTAATTGACCTCAGAACTAATTGCTTAAAAAATGTACATGCACTGGCTTGACTGGCTCATCAAGTATATTACACCTCTTGTAATACATGTACAAGTACCTTCCAATGTTTGCCTTGCTTCGTAAACAGTCGAAGGAACTTTCCTCTGGTTCTACATTATGGCAATTACAGCCCTAATGAAAAGTATCTCTAGCTTGAACTGAGTAACTAACATTCAGTGTCCTGAAAAATTATATAATAGGATTTACAGGAAAATAGAAGGGTTTGAGTAAAAACAAAAGGGAAGTCTGCTCTGCTAATAGGACCTTCTTCCTTACAGTTAATGAATTACGGTCAACTCGCCGACGGACCAACTCGCCGACGCCAACTCGCCGACGTGTAAAATCGAGTAGAGACGTCGGCGAGTTGGTCGTCAATCCAATACAACTTATTAGAAGTTAAACATACAGAAAAGTAAACGATATTTAGTAAAAAAACACTGGTGAACATCTAACAGAAGCTTAAACATTGGTGAACATTGGTGAACATCACCAATGACTATAACAGCTTAAGACGCGAACGAGTTATTGTGCGACAACAACACCGTAAAGACTCATCATGTCAATCGCTCAGATTTTTTAACGAAAACTTGACTTTCTAGACGAGATCTTTAGTAAAAAGCATTTCTTTTTGTTTGCAACAAAGTTTGTAAGGATCTCAAGGCGAATAAAGCGAAGTAAACATCACCAATGACTCACACAACTCATTGGCGTCTACAGCCAATTTTGTTCATTGGCGATGTTAACGTCGCTTTATTCGCCTTGAGATCCTTATAAACTTTGTTGCAAATAAAAAGAATTGCTTTTTTACTAAAGATCTTGTCTAGAAAGCCAAGTTTTCGTTAAAAAATCTGAGCGATTAACATGAGTCTTTACGATGTTGTTGTCACACAATAACTCGTTCGCGTCTGAGGCGGATGTAGTCATTGGCGATGTTTACTTTACTTTATTCGCCTTGAGATCCTTATAAACTTTGTTGCAAATAAAAAGAATTGCTTTTTACTAAAGATCTTATCTAGAAAGCCAAGTTTTCTTAAAAAATCTGACCGATTGTCATGATGAGTCTTTACAGTGTTGTTGTCACACAATAACTCGTTCGCATTTGAAGCTGTTAGAGTCATTGTGATGTTTACTTTACTTTATTCGCCTTGAGATCCTCATAAACTTTGTTGCAAATAAAAAGAATTGCTTTTTACTAAAGATCTTATCTAGAAAGCTAAGTTTTCTTAAAAAATCTGACCGATTGTCATGATGAGTCTTTACAGTGTTGTCACACAATAACTCGTTCGTGTTTGAAGCTGTTTGAGTCATTGGTGATGTTTACTTCCCTTTTTTCGCCTTGAGATCCTTATAAACTTTGTTGCAAATAAAAAGAAATGCTCTTTACCAAAGATCTTGTCTAGAAAGCCAAGTTTTCGTTAAAAAATCTGAGCGATTGACATGATGAGTCTTTACGGTGATGTTGTCGCACAATAACTCGTTTGCGTCTTAAGCTGTTATAGTCATTGGTGATGTTTACCAATGTTCACCAATGTTTAAGCTTCTGTTAGATGTTCACCAATGTTCACCAGTGTTTTTTTTTACTAAATATCGTTTACTTTTCTATATTTTTAACTTCTAATAAGTTGTATTGGATTGACGACCAACTCGCCGACGTCTCTACTTGATTTTAAACGTCGGCGAGTTGGTCCGTCGGCGAGTTGACTGGTTACCACAGTTAATGGTTCAATCTTCAGTCTAGCAACAATAAAATAAATGTGGACATCTTCAAATCTTTCCAAAAATGATTTGCAACAAAACATTTGCATCTGGGGAATATTGACTGATACATGTACAATATGTATATTACTAATAGCAAACATTTAATTGCTAGAACTGCATTGCTAACAAACATACCCTGACTGCATTGCAAGTAAAACAAAATGATGCATTAGATATATATATATGTGGAGTTCAATCTTTTAAACCATAAACCATAACAGTAGTCTCAACTCTGAATAATAAAAGCTTAAGAATAAACACCTACCAACAATTTGTACTTGGTACATTTTTGTCATCCACATCAATCCCATTGTCCTTCAGAATCTTCTTTTGATTATTAAGGTCTTCCAGCAGAATCTTTGGATTTTCCCTTCACAAAAAAGAATGATATGTATTTAACAAACAGACCATAACAAAAATAGTACTTTTATAACAACTCATAAAAGAAAACCTTAACAAAGTCTTCAAACATATTAACTGCCATCTTTTCACAGAAAATTCTCAAACTCATAAATTAAAAAAAACAAAGGAAGTCAGGACCATAATGGTGTTTGGATATCTGATCTTCATTACTGAAACTGCCATAAACCTGCAAGACTCCTGGCCTTGAATAATAACACCACACACCAAATAAAAAGAAAAAGGTTTAATGGAGCCGAACGTGCTTGATACTAAGAGTGTGGGTTGAAACTAAAACGAAAAAAAAAAGCAAAAGGTTACAAGTTGCAAAACAAGTTACAAGTTACAAAAACTGCAAAACGAGGACTGCGAAATACACTTACATTGTTTTGGCCAGAGAAAACTTCTGTAAAGAGGACTGCGAATAACGCGAAGAGGCTAGAAACAAACTAAACAGAACTGCGCTAAGCGCGGACCAAACTGAACTCACAAACTGTACTGACAAACTACGATATTCAAATACGCTAGAAAATGCGGAAAATAAAACTATAGAAAGGCGCTAAAGAAGATGAAACAGCACGGAAACGCTAACAAGGGCACGAAAACTAACAGAAAGAGATAAACACCTAAATTAACGCCAAAAAAGAAGACTAAACAAATGAACGAAAGGAAGTATAAACTAATTTGCGTACGCAAAGGAAAAACAAATTAGGCAAGAACGAATAATCAAAAAAAAATGTTACACTTGGATCTAACATACCGGCCCCATAAGTGAGGAGCACACGCGAGGCACTTAAATTAAACAATTAAAGATCTAAGTGTCTTCCTAAGTGTTCTTAATATTCTCTTCTCCTGAATTCAGAAAATTGCACAGAAAATAACTCCAAAGGGAAAGTTCAAGCTTCTATCAGCAAGCAAAGCTTGTCAATTGGCCTCTCCAAAACTGCTCCTTTTACTTTCACTCTGGTACGGCGCACCAAACCTTTCTTGTCGGCGAAGACTTCTACCACTCTACCAAGGGGCCATGAATTGCGAGGGGAATTTTCGGCGCTCACTAGAACAATATCCCCAACGGCCAGGTTCTTGCGAATCGTCGTCCATTTCTGCCTACTTTGGAGCAGAGGCAAGTACTCCTTAGACCATCTCTTCCAGAAGATGTCTGCGAGATATTGCACTTGTCTCCATCTGCGCCAAGAGAAGGAGTCTTCCTTTTGGAATAACCCAGGGGGCATCTGAGGTTCCGGGCGTAAAAGAAGCAAATGGTTTGGTGTAAGGGGCTCCGGATCATTAGGGTCACCTGAAACTGTGGTGATTGGACGACCATTAATGATGCTTTCCACTTCGCATAGGAGGGTGACTAAACCTTCGTCATCAACAGTTTGAGTTTGAAGCAAAGCTCGAAGGACCTTGCGCGTTGTTCGAATGCAGCGCTCCCAAACACCTCCATAATGGGAGCCATAGGGGGGGTTGAAGTTCCACTTGATACCCTTCTGAAGTAGAGCTTCGTGAATCTTGTTGTGATTCCACGCGTTGATGGATTCCCTGAGCTCCCTCTCTCCGCCGGTGAAATTGGTACCATTATCGGATCTGATCTCCTTTACCTGGCCCCTTCTTGCTATAAACCTTCTGAGCGCCATCAGGAAAGAATCAGTTTCCAAACTGTGCGCCACTTCAATGTGAACCGCGCGGATAGAAAGACACGTGAAAATGACCCCATATCTTTTCACAAGGCTTCGCCCACGGCGTACCTGAAGAGGACCAAAACAATCAATGCCGACAGATGTAAAAGGTGGCTGACCTGGGGTAACACGATCCACGGGAAGGTCAGCCATTTTCTGCTCACAGAACGGGCCTTGACGCCGCCGGCAACTGAAACATTTCGAAAGAACTTTCCTGACAACAGAACTTGCGTTTACGATCCAAAACTTCTCGCGAGCAAGACTGATAACGTACTCTCTCCCAGAGTGACCGGAGATCTGGTGGTAATATTCTACTACAAGGTTGGTCACGTGATCCTTCTTGGGCAAAATAATCTGATGTTTAGCCTCAAATGCAGTGGACACTAGACTTAACCTCCCACTGACACGTAAGACGCCGTTCACTAAGATTGGATCCAGACTTCGAAGGCTGCTGCTTTTCTTGACTTGCGTACCGTTTTCAGACTTGCTTAACAGCTCAAGCTCATCCGGAAAATTGAACTGCTGGACGTTCCTGAGGATTTCTAGCTCCGCAATTGCCAACTCCGTAACGGTAATTGGTGGTAAAGAAAGGATGGGAGTTGAAAGGATCGGCTCTCTCGATTTTCCGCGTTTACTTGACCTTTTCAAGTTTCCAAGGTATCGTAAAAACCATGCAACTGACTTCTTCAATCGGTGCCAGGAAGACGCGCGATGAAAGTACTCAACCAAAGGATGCTCCGACTCGGAAACAGAAGCGTGACAAACCTTATAAACCATCTTCACTTCCGGGTCTCCGTCTTGAAGACATCCAAGGGATAAGGGGTTCCTAGGCCAATCTTCTTCTGACTTCCAAAGAAACTCCGGCCCCAGTAACCATCTTTGGCAGCTCAACAATGCTTTGGCAGTCAGCGCTCTTGAAGCGCAATCTCCAGGATTCGCTACACCTTCCAAATAGCGCCACTGATCTGGACTTGAGCCCTCTCGTAGTACGGCAACCCGATTGGCAACAAACGTGTGGAAACGCGTACTTTCGTTCTTCACATAACGAAGCACTGACATGCTGTCTGACCAAAACACGGATTCACAATTAGGAGGCATCTCCAGCTCTTCCTTGAGCATCTTGTCTTGTCGCACAGAAACGGTTGCGGCCGAGAGCTCTAAACGAGGAACAGAGATAGTTTTCAAAGGAGCAACGCGTGATTTTCCTAACAGGAAGGAACAATGAACTCGGTCCTCATGGCTAAGCAGTCGAAGGTAAGTCACTGAGCCATAAGCTGCTTCTGAGGCATCAGAGAAGTGATGTAGCTGACTGGATTTAACGGGACCAAAATCCTCTGGCTTTAAACAGCGACTCACAGCAAACTCCGAGAGCTTTGGAACATCTGCTAGCCAATTTTCCCAACGTGCAGCGTACTCAGTCGGGATCTCGTCATCCCATCCTAGCTTAATGCGACAAAGATCTTGAAGGATTTCCTTCGCGGTCAGAACGAACGGTGCCAGGAATCCCAACGGATCGAAAATAGCACTCGCTAGAGACAAGATACCCCTACACGTTGGTGGACGGGAGCTAATGTTGACTCTGAAGCGGAACGAATCGGATTCTACACACCATTGAACTCCCAGGGCTCGCTGAACAGGCAACTCTTCCTTCCTTATGTCCATGTCCTTGATGTCCTTTGCTCTCTCCTTCTCAGGGATAGCTTGCAGAACATCACGACTATTGCTGACCCATTTGGTTAGCTTGAAACCACCACGTGATAGTAAACTGCATAAACTGCCAACATGCTCAATGGCTTTCTGCTCGCCAGGGAGGGACTTCAAGCAATCATCGACATAAAAGTTTCTTTTAACTGTGTTAATGACGTCAGGAGGGAAGCTGTGACGATTATCTTCTGCTGTCTTGCGGAGTGCGAGGTTTGCGCAAGCCGGTGATGAAATGGCTCCAAACAAGTGAACGACCATCTGAAATTCTTGTAATTCGCGCGCCATGTTGCCATCCTCCCACCAAAGAAAACGCAGAAAGGAACTGTCAGGATCGGGAACTCTCACTTGGTGGAACATGGACTCTATGTCCGCCATGACGGCCACTCTCTCTTCACGAAACCTCAACAGGACTCCTACAAGCGAACTAGTTAGGTCCGGGCCCTTGTACAGCATGTCATTGAGGGACTTTCCCATGAATTTGGCCGAACAGTCAAACACGACGCGGATCTTTCCTGGCTTGCGAGGGTGGTAAACACCATGGTGCGGTATGTACCAGGCGGTGCCCTTCGCGGGGCTATTCTGATCAGGGGACACTTTGCGTGCATATCCTTTGGAGAGAATGTCTTCCATAAAGGCCTTATAATCTTGATAGAACTTCGGGTCTCTTTCCAGCCTTTTCTTCAACCAAATGGCGCGCTGCCAGGCCTGAGCCTTGTTGCTGAGTACAGGCGTTTGGCGATCCTTAAAAGGTAAAGAGATTTGATAGTGCCCATTTCTCAACTCCACCGTCTGTTCGGCGATTTGCATAAATCTACGTTCGTCTTGAGACATCTCTGTCTTGCTATCAGCGGTGGGATCGGTAAAATCGCGGTTGTAGAAGTCTTCTATCATCTGTTGGAGCCGGTGATCGACTTTAGCAACAAAAGTGGATGACCGTGAACTATGGTGACGACGGCCTAAGGGACCATTTACCGCCCAGCCGATTCGAGTTCTTGAAGCATAAGGACCACCGTCTTGACTGTGTTTGATATCAAGTGGATCGAGAGCCTTGGGAACGTCACTAGCAATCAAAAGGCCAACCTCAGCGTCGAGACGAGGCAGAAAAACTCCTTGCAAGTGGGGCCACTGATCAACGTCATCCTGAGTTGGAATGTCGCTGCTGGACACAGGAATCTCCGGCCTGGTATAAAGGGTCGGGAGGCTAATCCACTCGTTCTCGTCCAAATCGGATACAAGAAGGTCGCGAACCAGGAAGCTGTTGGTGATGCTATTTTTCTTCTCAAGGGTAGACAGGGATATCTTAACTTGCTGACCATTAATCCCGAGCTGCTTCATGAGCGATTCAGTACAGAAACTGGAGTTGCTACCGTTATCCAGGAAGGCGTAGGTGATGACGCTCTTATCACTATCTTTCGCTCTTACTCTAACTGGTATTACGGCCATGCCTGTCCTACGACCCTCTCCTGAAGTCTCACTGTTGGCACTGGTGCCCGTTCTTACCATGTGACTACAAACTTGAGTGCTGATTACGTCTTCCGTACCCACTCCAATGTCGACAGCTCGTCTCTCACGAGGGCTTGTATGTAAAACAGTAGGATGCCGTCCTTTACAGTTCGCAATCTTGCAATTTTTCCTCTGCGGGCAAAACTTTGCGACATGTTCGGTGGATAAACATCCAAAGCACAGCTTTTTGGACAACAGGAATTGAATTCTCTCTTGGTAGGGTTTCCACCGCAATGATTGACAATCCTCAAGGGCGTGGTTTCTGCTACAATAGAGACACCGATTTTTCCCTTGTGAGGGACCCTGATCGATTCCAGTTGGCTGAACCTTGCGAGTCTGAGGTCTCTGCTCTCCATCGGCGCGTTGACTTGGCTCCTTTACACCCTGCGGAACAGTTTCACTGGTATGACCTTCACTATCGCCTACATGTGCTAAGAGACTGAGATTCTTGGGATTGGATGTCTTGCCACCATAGGACCGCTGACCAGGCGCCGATCTTACGGTATCGGATATCTTGCCAAAGACTGGGTTGGTTAGTATTCGTGCTCCGCGATCAACAAAGGCGACGAAGTCACTAAACTGTACTGGCCTTAACTGTCTGTCCATGATGTCATCAGCTAAGCGACGCCATCTTTCTCTCATGCTGTAAGGAATCTTGAGCACCAACTTTTGAATGTTTCCTGGCTGATCAAACTTAGAAATGTACTGGCTACCTGCCAATGCGTTCTTGCAACTTGCGAGAAAGACTGAGAAACGATTCAAAGCCACACCATCTTCTGCCTTTATGCTCGGCCAGTCGAGGGCCTTCATCTCGTAAGCGGATGCTATGCGATAATCGTCACCATACTTCCTTCTCAAAAGCCTACGAGCCTCATCGTAACCTTCTTCCGCTGGTAAATGATGACAGGATCTAACAAGTTCCTTAACGTCCCCTGCGGTGAACTGCTCCAGGTAATAGAGTCTATCAGTACTGCTAAATGTTCTGGATTCAACCAAATTTTCAAAAGCGCGAACGAAAGTGCGGTACTCAATAGGGTTTCCGTCAAACACGGGGACACGGGGCTGCGGAAGTTTGTTCCTATTCTGATTATGCGCTAGCAATTCCATCATTCTGTTCTGCTGAAACTGAAGAGCAGTCTGTTGCCGCTGCAAACCAATCGTTTCCTTTCTCAGATCCTCACCGACTGTACAGGCTTGATAATCAAACTGGCCGTAAGGAACAGAATCCATAGACACGCCCTGGCCTGGGTGGTGCACCTCGCCTGGAAAAGACCTTTTCGCGCGGGGGCTGGTACGAGGGGGTTCCTGATCCTGGAGCTCTGTCTCCAATTTTAAAGGCTTCACCTCCGGTAGAGAAGGGGAGGTCATTGCTGCGTAGGCCCTCTCCTTAGCTGTTGTCTTGATCATTTCGGCTTCGAGGTTAAGGCGTAATTCTTCCTGCTGTAAACGAAACTTTTTCTCTTCGAGTGTTTGGCGCTTTTCGAGCATAGAAATTTCAGCTTTTAACTCGGCAATTCTTGCGGCTTCTTTGGCTCTCGCGGCTGCAACTGATGAAGCACGATCACCACGTGAACTTGCTCGACTTGAATGTTTTGAAACCTTGGAAGCACCTGAAGGAATTGGTGTGCCAGCACAACTAATTGAATCCTCGGGATTCACTGCCGAACCCACCCGAAGCGACTCTGCTAATAGCTTGTATTCAATATTAATTATCCATTCGATGATCTCCTGACGGAACACACGAACCTTTCCCTCTTTGTCTTCAAGATAGCGTTGCTCCTCAATAATGGCGTTCTCATCCAGAATTTCTTCGACGTAATCGCGATGGGCCTCTTTGAATCTTTCAAAAGCGTTGTCCAAGTAAGGAAGCTTCCCTTTAACCTCCTGAAGATTATGATCATCAGTAAGCAAGCCAGAAATTTCATTGGAAATGGCGGTTACAGTAGACAGGTGACCAGACCTTGAATTTTTCTTGAAACGAAGTATTTCCAGGTTAGACGCTTCAAAATCCAGCGAACGGTTTGGTTGTCGTACGCGTGTTCCAACTCGCCGAGCGACGGGATCTGTAAGCTGCTTGCGGCTAAAGCTCATGACGAAACGACATGTCACCAACAATTTTCAACGATGAAACTGCCATAAACCTGCAAGACTCCTGGCCTTGAAT